CAACCAAAGCATCTGTGTTGAAAAAAGGGCAAGAATTTATCTTCTAAAGGTGTCAACTGAACAAATCCATTACAGATAAGTAAGGGAGTTAGTTACAAGGAGAGTCATCAGTGTAACCTGAGGCTGTTGATAAACATTTCCTGTCTTCTTGCCCTGGCAGAAATTCTTTACAGCCACACTTTTCCCCACGTTTTCATTTAGCTGAATATTGGCATCTGTGCAAGGGGAGAGAGGTTCTTAGAACAAACCTAACTTTCAGCGTCAATGATCTAACCCTCAGCTCACTGCGGACCTTCAGAGTACAGATAAACAAGAATCTTAACCTTCTCATGGCCGGTGTTGGTCTCGTTCTTCCCTCTTCAGGGAGTGTGACCTGTTTTTATTTTATTTGCTTATAGAACTAAGTGTCCCCTCATCCCTGCCCCAGGTCACCTTGAGGTGACCACAGCCATACCCACTATTGAGATAGGAGGCTGGTGACACAATTTCCCCCAAGTCTGCTCAAGAGGCCGTACCTCTCTTCCACACTGAGAATTTCAGAACCCATGAACCCAGTGCCAACAGGTGAACATGAGGCTCTCAAATTGCTGGAAAAGCGTCATTCCTAACTCTCTCCATGTGCATAAAGAATCTTAAGGTGTACTTACCCTGGTTCCCAATTTTCTGACTATCTGCATGGACCAGGTGAGAACATAGTGACCAAAAAAAAGTTTGACTTGATAGCTGAGTGGTTATTAGTCATGCTCCCCGAGATCCACTCTGATTTCCAGGATCCCAGAGGATAAATTCTCCTACTGGCTACATCACCTATACCCCCGCTGCTCCCTCTTCCTGTTGGGTTCAGGCACTAGCAGAAGGTCAGAGGACTTCTGCTCCTGCTCTCCTCCTGCCCTGCAGAAGTTCTAGCAGCAGCTGTATCCTTCTGCCTTCAGCTCTCAACAGGGCTCAGGTGATATTTATTGGTTTGATCCTTCAAGCATCCCACTAGTCTTTGGACACCTCACCCACCTGTTGGTTCTTTTAACCCTGCCTACCTTTCTATATGTATACTCAGCCTTACACTGTGTCTTCAAAACAGATGGCCGAGTGTGCCATCTGTTCCCTGTGCCAGAGATAAGCCAAACATTCAAATCCTGGCTCTGCCACCCCTTATCTCTGTGCCTCTCTGTTTACAAAATCACAGAGCTGGAGTCAGTGATGTCTAGTGTGAAGGCAGAAATCAACAAGGGCAAAATTCCAGGGTCTTGACCTTTGCCATCCCAGATTGACTTAAAGGAACCAGCAGCATGATGCCAGAGTCAAGACATTCCATAAGTGGGCACGGACCCAGCATCACTGGGTGGGTAAGACCAGTTTTACTATTGAAATCTCAGAAAGACCCTTTTGATCCTCACTCAGAGACCACGTTAGGAAACAACTGGGGAACTTTTCATGTTCCTGATCAAGCAAGAAGCTATCTTCTAAGGAAAAATCTGAGGCCCTTCTTGCTTCACACAAAAGCCAGGTCTTATGCAGGATACATGGCTACAACAAATAGAAATCCAGACAGGACCCCTGGATTGCACTGAGTGTGTTATTGTTGTTGTTGTTAGCTACTATTAGCTATCTGTTGAGTGCCTCGTTCTACCAGCTGCTGTACTAGCTGGTTTGTATCCATTTAAACCCCACAGACCCCAGAGGCCTTATTATTCCTATGTTATAGTTGGGGAAATCAAAGCTTAGACATTTGCCAAGGCCATAGCATAAGGATCCTGACCCAAGATCTGCTGAATTCTAGAAAGTGCCTGGAGCCAACTCAGGTGACTCAATTTTCCCTGTGGAACCTGAGGAATATTCCTAAGTGTAGTTGCCTCAATTGCAGGATTTGTGCTGTTAACGATGATTTATGTTTGTGTGTGTGTGTGTGTGTGTGTGTGTGTGGTAAAATAAACATGATGTATTATGTTTATATAACATAAAATCTTACCATTTTAACCATTTTTAAGTGTACCAGTTCGATGGTGTTAAACACATTTGTAATGTTGCCAACCATTACCACCATCCATCTCCAGAACTCATTTCATCTTGTAAAACTGAAACTCTGTACCCATCGGCACCCGTTAATCCCTCACCCCAGCACCTGGCAACCACCATTCTATTTTCCGTCTCTATGATCTTCTGTCTCTTCCACATGTAAGTGGAATCATCCAGTCTTTTGTGACTGGCTTATTTCACTCAGCATAATGTCCTCAAGGTTCTTCCGTGTTGTTAGCGGGTGTCAGACGCTCCTTCATAAGACTGAATAATATTCCATTGTATGCATATATCACAGTTTGCTCATCCATTCATCCATGGGTGGACAGTTGGATTTCTTCCATGTTTAAGCTATTGTTAATAATATTATGGCTGTGAACGTGGGTGTATGAATATCTCTTTAAGACTCTACTTTCATTTCTTTTGAGTATACAACCAGAGTAGAATTGTTGGATCACATAGTAATTCTACTTTTACGTTTTTGGGGAACCACCACATTGTTTTGCACAGTAGCTGTACCATTTTACATTTCCACAAGAGCACACAAGAGTTTCAGTGTCTCCACATCCTCACCAACACTTGTTATTCTCTGTTTTTTGGATAGTAGCCATTTTAATGGCTGTGTGGTGGTATCTCATTTTAGTGTTGATTTTCATTTCTCTAATGATCACTGGTGTTGAGCATAACATGTGCTTATTAGCCATGCATATATCTTCTTTGAAGAAAGGTCTATTCAAGGCAAGTCTTTTGCCTAGTTTTGAATTGAGTTTTGTTTAGTTGTTGAGTTTCAGAATTTATCTGTCTAGTTTCAATACAGCATCTTCTGAAAAATGTCCCAGATATATATGAGAAGAATGTGTGTGCTATTGTTCTTGGGTAGAGTATCCCATATCTCTCTGTCAGATCCAGGTGACTTATTGTGCTGTTCAAGCCCTCTGCTTCCCCACTTATCTTTCATCTGGTTGTCCAAAATGCACTGTTTTGCATTCCCTTATCAAGAATGGGGTGTTGAAATATCCGACTATTATTGTGCAACTGTCTTTTTCCCCCTTCATTCCTGTCAGTTTTTGCTTCACATATTTTGATGATCTGTCATTGGGTGTAAATGTTTGTAATCATTGTATCTTCTGGCTGTATTGAACCCTTTATTAATATATATAACATCTGTCTTTGTCTCTTGTAATCTTTTTCAATTTAGAGTCCATTCTGTCTGATATTAGTATAGTCATCCCTGCTCTCTTTTGTTTCACATCTTTTAGTTAATATTTTCTCCATCCTTCCACTTTCAATATATTTGTGTGTTTGGATCAAAAATGAGTCTCTTGTTGACAATATATATTAGAACATGTTTGTTTTGTTTTGTTTTGCTATTCATTCTACCATTCTCTCTTTTTTTTGAATTTTTTTATTAAGATTTTATTTATTTATTTGAGAGAGAGAGTGAGAGAGAGAAAGAGCACAAGAGGGGGGAGCAGGAGAGGGAGAAGCAGACTCCCCGCCGAGCAGGGAGCCCGATGTGGGACTCGATCCCAGGACTCCAGGATCATGACCTGAGCCGAAGGCAGTCGCTTAACCAACTGAGCCACCCAGGCGCCCTTTTTTGAATTTTTTTAAATTTTATTATTGTTATGTTAGTCACCATACAATACCTCATTAGTTTTTGATGTGGTGATCCAGGATCCATTGTTTTCATATAACACCTAGTGCTCCGTATTTAATGCATTTACATTTAAAGTAATTACTGATAAGGAGGGATTTAATTCTGTCATTTTGTCATTTTTTTTTATGTGCATGCTTATGGCTTTTTTGTCCCTCATTTCCTGCACTACTGTCTTCTTTCGTGTTTTATTTATTTTTTTGGTAATGAAATGCTTAAATTCCCTTTTATTTCCTTTTGTGTGTGTTCTAAAACTATTTTCTTTGTGATTACCATGGCGATAGCATAGTTAGAACATTCTAATTTAAATTTATACCAGCTTAATGGCACACAGCTTAAAAACACACAAAACTCTGCTCTTTTATGGCTCTTTTCTCACCCCTTTTGGTTGCTGGTGTCACAGAAATGCCTTTATACATCACATGCCAAGAGGAGGCTGTGGGGGATGGGTAGATGCTACAGTGCCGAAAGCTAAAATCGACCAAAGTTAACTGCAATTGATCATCCAAGCCTCCTCGTGACAGTTGCAGGTCTTCAGTAGATTCCAGAGTTCCAGAATAGTTAGATAAGACGGATTCTGTCAGTGCAATTGTTGTCTGGGTGGGGAGAGAGATTTCTGGTGCTTCCTATGTGACCATCCTCCCAGAATCTCTGTGGTGTTTTCTTTTAGGAAAACTTCTTTCTGAGGAGTTGGACCTGAAATAACTGAGGCCCTTATTGCTAGGGACATCTCTGATACAAGAGACAATTTTACATTCCCTTTTCAATAAAAATCTCCACCTAAAAAAAAATTTCCAATCAGATCCCAAATCCATAATGTCACCAGTGTGCATGGTCACATAAGACTCATTCTGTTTTCTCCACCCTCAACAACAGCCCCACTGTTAGCATTTATCCTCTGGAAAATTAAGTTCTGTTGTGCTCATTTCATGCAAATTACCACTGGCAGAAGAGAGAGGAAGATTTCCAGATATAGAGACCCACAAGATAAAGAAGCCCAGAGTCGTTAGACAGAGGAGCCGATGAACAGGGTACGCCTGACTCACACTAACGGTTGCATAAGTAAGATTTCAAAATTAATATTACTCTGGAGACCTCAACCTAGTGTACAATGTTCCTGGCTGGAAAAGAAGAACTATATCATTCTTTTTTTTTTTTTTTTTTTAAATCTGTACCATTACTTGCCGTTGTATCTCCGCCTTCTTCTGCAGGAAACATTATTTCCTACTTCTGCACACCAAGTTTCTACCTTCAGATCTCTTTGCTTCAGTTGCTGAGAAGCCAGACCCTCTAGTGCCACTTGGGAGAAGCCATCCACCGGTGAGTTGTGGGTGCTTTTTCCATTACTTTATGAATCACAGGCTCAAAGCATCCCAACACTGGAGATGCAGGGACTGGGAACACCCTGAAGGTTGCATAGCTCAGGACCTTGGGGGATGGTGTTGGGGGAGAAAAGGCTGGAGGGTGGTGTCTGCACCAGAAATGTTGGAGAGGCCCAGATAACCGTGAACAAGTGCAGAGCAGGGTGAGACCACCCCACGGGGCTCAGGTGAGAGGAGAGTGCGCTAAAGAGGACAGTCACGAAAGTAAGGACATTCAGGCTACTCAGCTGCTGCTTCTCTCACTCTGCCCCTCCCAGGCCCTGGGGCTTTAAAGAGCTGGAACTTTCTATCCCAAATATTCCCCCTCCCCGCTTCATAGTCCATCTATGTGATGGTCCAAGCCCTGAACCAAAATTGGCCTCTTTCCTCAATTCAGAAGGCCCACGGGGGCTGAAGTGAGGAATCTATTTTTCTGAGAGTCAGCTTTTAATCGATTCAGGATGTGTCCTGACACTTGAAAGTGACACCTTGCAAGTCCGCTGTGTCAGGAGCTAGGTGTGCCGGAGTGACTGGGGAGAAGTCGTGGAGGAGGAGGTGGCTGGTAGATGAGAAGCCAGCGCAGGTAAACAACAACGTGGAGAGAACACACGGTGGAAGTGGTCAGGGCGATTGGCCCCCCTTTCCCCTGATCTGAATCACCAGAGGGTCTGGGCTGTGCATTTCTGACTGACAGGCTTCCTGTGTGATACCGAAGCCCAGCATTTGAGAACCACTGGTCCAGTCCACACTTTCCCATCCAGATGAGGAGGCCAGCCCTGTGGTTGGTTCTAGAACAGCCCAAAGGGTGTGCTGCACTTAATGGGCTGAGTGCAAGGATCCCCAGTATCTTAGTTTTTAAAAGGTCTCCCACTGGATTGCCTGGGAGGCTAGTCCACAGTGGGGCATTGTGTTTCTCAGCAGCTTGCAGCCTGCTGGTTCTCTGTCATTCACTTACAGAAATGATATTTATTTAACAGACTCTAAGTGCCAGATCGGGCTCTGGGGCACCAAGATACTTTATTGCAAGACAAAGTTCTTGGCCCTGGTGGAGCTTGTTTTCGTGTGTATGTGTGTGTGTGTGCACGTGAGCACATGTGCACCCTTCTGCATGCATAGGTGGGGCATTTTCATATTGGTGAATGTGTGGCTTTTAAGTCTAAATGCCAAAGAAGTTCAAGGCATGGAAGCATACCTAGAAAATTGTTACCTATTCTATATCCATCTCTGCTCTCCCAGCCTGGAGATAGGAGCTCCTGAGGTCTTTTGTAACGGAATAGCCCCAGGTTCAAAATCCAGCTCAGCTATTACTTGTTTTGTAAATTTGGGAAAGTCATTTAACTTGTCCAGGCTTGAATTTTGAATTCTTCACTTGTATAATGTATAAACACTTGCTCACAATATTTTTGCAAGTATTAAACTAATGCATGCAAAGTATTTAGCACAGCACCTGGAACTTAAGGAGCACTCAATTAATGATCATGGACGTAATTCTTTAGGTGGATACATTTTTTCCCCCAGAGCTTGATTAGAAGTCTTACTTAGTTGCAGCAGATTTCCAAGAATCTGGCTTAGTGAAATGGAAGATGTATGAGATGTATCAATCAGAAGAGAAATTGAAGAATAAGGTGTGTACAAAGATAAAAACCAATTCACAGTCACTACCAGGAAAGGGAAAAAAAAAGAATATTCTTGAGAATCAAGCCTAATGATGTTAGATGTTATACTCAGGATAAAGACTTTCATGCATTCCCTTAATGAACATTTATTGGTGCCTCCTTTAGCCAGATGCTATATCATAAGAGCTGGAAACAGAAACATGGTTGGACTTCAAGGGGCACACAGTGTATTGGAGATCGTGTGATAAGGGCTTGTTTAGAGGTATGCATAGTGTTATGAGATGACTGGAGTGATTGATTAGAGGAGGCAGGTTTGGCTTCACAGAGAAGGGGAATTTGAACAAGAGGTACTGGCGGATGACTAGGAGCTCACCAGGCATTTTAGGCAGAGGGGCAAGCTTCTGCAAAACTGCTGAAGCAGGTAAGTTTGCAGGAAAATGGACGGGAGATGGCTGGGGTGGGAGCACAGGACCTGGGGTTTGAGAAGTGACTGGAGACGAAGCTGGGAAGACATGAGCGTAGACAAGACTGACGAGTGGTCTGGGCATTGCCTTTGAGGTCCTGCCACATACAATGTGTGGGACCACTGTGGTTTTCAGCTGAGAAGCGCACGATCCCATTGCAGTGTTGGGGAGGACAGGTTGAGAAGGAACATGGTCAGGAATAAGCTGCGAGCAAGACCACAGCAAAGATGGAAGTGGGGAGGGTCTGAGGCCAGACAGTGGCAGCCTGACAGAGGTGCAGAGGGGCTGAGCCCTGAGGTGTTTATGAGGTAGAATTCACATGACAATGATCATGACAGCAGTAGTAGAACTGAGTATGGCTCACGGTAGGTGCTCAGTGAATGCTGGTTAAATGGGTCAACCCACGGGGTGCTACGCAGGAGGCGATGGGAAATTCAACTCTGAGATGTAGCGGTTGAAAGGTGAGACTGGAAGGCAGAGCTTTGGGATGCATTGACATTCAGGGTGCCTAGAACCCCGTGATTAGACAGCACGACTTAGCAAGGACTTGGGGGCGAGAATAAAGAGGTAGCAGGTAAAGAGGTGGCAGCCAAGGATGGTGCCTGGGGGCTCTCGCAGCGTGGGCAGGGGAAGGAGACACCAACGAAGAAAATGAATAAGGAGGCCCAAGGCAGGCACTAACCTCCCAGAAGGCACAAGAGTTTTAAATGGGAGAACTTAGCAGAAGGATCCGGTGCTCATCGAGGATGAAGCTGAAACAGACCCAGGGCATTTAGTAGTTGGGTTGCCATGGTAACCTTGCCCAGGAAGCTTTGGCGGGGAGGTGGAGGCAGAGAGTTGAGAGTTAGTTAGAAGGCGTTTGGCTGCAAGTAACAGAACATGGAACTCACAGTAGCTTAAAAACGAGGGCTTATGTTTTTCAAATCACAAGACGTCAGAGGATGAGCAGTTCAAGGCTGGGCTTACGACTTGGCGGTGCTGGGACTCGGCCTCGTTTTGCTCCGTTCTCTGAGTCTTTTGTTCAGGGTCCCAAACACCAAGCCCTCACAAGACAAGCTCGAGCAGCAGAAGGGGCAGGCCCGGGTTTCTGCTGCATCCCTCCCGTCGGAGAAGAGCGTTCCCAGAGGCCCCCTCACACAGTGCCCTTCCTTGTTGTCCTCCAGGCACGGGTCACCGGCCCGTGTACCCCCTGGAGAGGATGTGGAGCAGTAAGTATGCCGTGCGGGGCATTATACGACGCGAGTTGGGTCCTCCGGGAAGGCCTGGGGTGTTGAGAAACGGCTGGTGGGGAGACAGCTAGCGTCTGCTCCCAGGAATAAAGGGAAGTGATCAGCCAACATGAGAGCTTTCCAGGACATGGCCATGAAGCAGAGACAAAGACCAGGCGGTCGCTGACACGGAGCGAGGGTATTTTTAAGCTCGGGGACGGCAGCGGTTACGTGGCGTGTTAGCAGTTTGTTCTCTGATTACAGGTTGGAGAAAGATGGGTGACAACAGCACGTTTCTCCAGGCCAGCCACAACATGCCGTCCACATCGCATTCTCTGTTTACAACCAACATCCAGGGCAGCGATGAAGAACCCACCACCATTTATGACTATGATTACGGCGCGCCCTGTCAGAAGGCCAATGTGAAGCAAATCGCAGCCGGGCTCCTGCCTCCGCTCTACTCGCTGGTGTTCATCTTCGGCTTCGTGGGCAACATGCTGGTCGTCCTCATCCTCATCAACTGCAAGAGGCTGAAGAGCATGACGGACATCTACCTGCTCAATTTGGCCATCTCCGACCTGCTCTTCCTTCTCACCATCCCGTTCTGGGCCCACTATGCCGTACATGGGTGGCTCTTGGGGGAGGTGATGTGTAAGTCATTCACCGGGCTGTATCACGTTGGGTATTTTGGCGGAAACTTCTTCATCATCCTCCTGACCATCGACAGGTACCTGGCGATCGTCCACGCCGTGTTTGCATTAAAGGCCAGGACAGTCACCTTTGGGGTGTTGACAAGCGGGGTCACCTGGGTGGTGTCCATGTTCGCCTCTCTCCCCGGGATCGTCTTCGCGAGAGTGGAAAAGGAAGAAGATTTTACGTCCTGCAGTTCTCACTTTCCAAAAACATGGAAGAGTTTCCATACAATAATGAGGAGCATCTTGGGCCTGGTCCTGCCCCTGCTTGTCATGGTCATCTGCTATTCGGCCATCCTCAAGACCCTGCTCCGGTGCCGAAACGAAAAGAAGAGGCACAAGGCCGTGCGGCTCATTTTCGTGATCATGATTGTTTACTTTCTTTTCTGGGCTCCCAACAACATCGTGCTTCTCCTGAGCACCTTCCAGGAGTCCTTTAACGTGAGCAACTGTCAGAGCACCAGTCAGCTGGACCAGATCATGCAGGTGACAGAGACCCTTGGGATGACACACTGTTGCGTCAACCCCATCATCTACGCCTTCGTCGGGGAGAAGTTCAGAAGGTATCTCTCCACATTCTTCCGAAAGCACATCGCCAAACACCTCTGCAAACAGTGCCCAATCTTCTATGGGGAGACCGCGGATCGAGTGAGTTCCACATACACACCTTCCACAGGGGAGCAGGAGGTCTCAGTTGGTTTGTAAATGAGTAGCAGTTTGCTTCTTACTTTTAAGAGGGGACAGCAATCTGTATGTGATAATAAAGCCTCAAGGGTCTGTTGCAGAAGGGAGGCCTGTGAGCTTCTGAGGCGATAGCACGCTCAGGAACCTCAGGGTCGTGCGCACCAAGACAGATTTTGTTCCTCCCTACGTGACCAAGGCGCACTCAGGGGATAGTCCAGAACAACTGTGGGTAGAGACTGTGACTTCTCCAACGAGCTCCTCCCAGTTCCTGGAAAACGCCATACCTGGAAAATGCTTATGTGCTTCTCCCGGCCTTCACCTTCTCTTCACTGGCTCTGCAATGCTATCTATCCCTTTGGTCAGGGGTCCAGCTGGAGGTGGAGAGGGGGGCAAGTGGGCATGGGTGGATGGCGTGAGGGCGCATGGGGTCAGTGTCGAGTGCCAGGAGGTGTGGGCATGGCTGAGCCTGGGTGAGGAGGATGGGAAGGGCTTCGTTGGTCCAGCCAGACAGCAGTGCTGCCCCCAGGCCCTGTTTCCCACCCATATTAACCTGGAAGGCCCCACCTGCTCAGGGAGAGCATGGGAACCCCAAGAACCCTCTGAGAGCTTCATTTGGGTCCAGTCATCCTCTTCTGTGTAAGTACATGACACATTTTTGCTTTGTTGCCATTTATCTGTGACAACCACGCGGTCTACTTTTGCAATCTATTAAATATCATGCCCCATTTTTCACATGCGTCATAAGCCACATGCCCCTATGTAAAAATGTATGAACGTGTTTGTTTATAAAATCTGTGTAGTCTATAATGAGATGAAAAATAAAAGCCCTCGTCTGGGCTGTGCAGGGAAAGGGGAGGTTTGCAGGTAGTGATGGGGAGAAGGCGTGAAGGTGGATGACTTCCTGCATCAGGAAGGCGGGAACTGTAGCAAGAGCTCTGGAGGCTATGTGAGCACACACACCGCCCCGCAACCCCCTGCAGCAGTGTTTCCAGAATCAGCTAGGAAAGGCCAGGAAGGATGCATCCGAACCCGTAGAGGCCTCAGGTCTTTGGATCTGACTGTGTTTATCTTCTTGTTACCTGTCCCTGCTGCCCTGGCCCCATCTGCGCCCCCCACCCCCTGAGACTTCATCACATCACTCTTGCCCGAAGGATTGCCCTGCCCCAGAGCCAGCTCGAGGAGGTCCAGGAGAGTGGCCTTGGGGAGTAGAAAACGGCGCAGCCAGAACCCCTCCATGGGCCCGGGAGAGGGGGAAAACCGGTGGGGGCCCTGGGGTGTGTCGCCGGGGCAGAGAAGGAGCCGGCAAAGATGACAGAGGCCCCCGCCTTGGAAGTCATACCCTAGCCTGTGAATCTCGGGGTCTAATCGGCCAGATGGGGCGGACCTACACGAGGAAGACTCTAGATGGGGTTGGGGTAAAATGTTTTCCAAACTACCTTCCAGCACCTCATTTTTGGATCCAGGCATAGAGTTCGCATATGTAAAAATAATAATAATAAAGTAAAAATAAAAGTAAAGCTGAAACTATAACTTGCAAATGGGGCAGAGTATCATTTTAAGAGTTGCTATTATGTCAAGCCTGAAAATACCGTATTAATCCCAGAGAGAATTCTGGTTTTGAGCTTAGAAAGTTGGAGCCTGTGGTATGTTTGGGAGACTACCAATTCAACATGGATAGTTGTTGATCAGGGAGTCCAGGGTCTGGTCTACGGGCTTACTAGCTCATGGCGATGCGGTGTCTAACTCGTACGATTTGGATCATAGCCCACACTGCACAGATGGCATCTCGACCGGGTCTTTATTCTCCCAGCCTTACGGCCACAAATCCTTCGTGTCATTATGAAGTCTAGGAGGTCATGGGTTTGATCGTGTTCAAATGCTTCTGTGCTCTGCCAATGTCATTCATGTTCAAACTGTCCAATTTGGAGTGGGAACTCCCAAATCACACTGACCCCTAATCGAATTTTTAAACCCAATTTGTAAAGGGGAGGAGTTGGCTCACTTAAGTCAGCAAAGACTCTTATCTTGGGTGAGCCAAGTTAAGAAGGTACACCTGGGTGACCCAGTGCATTTCTGATCTGACACAAGCAGGAAACACAGGGCTTCTGGAACCTGGCAGCTCGAGAGCTGTAAGCGACGATGGTTTTCCTTTGCTGCTTCACGGCTAGAGAAGGTTTCAGAAAGAAGTGTGTGTGTTTGGGGTGGGGAGAGCAGGCTTTGCCTTCCGGTATTTGTAGTATCCTCATGAATGCATGAAATTTTGTTTGGATGATGAAGTGTAAATACTGGGGTTTTTTTTAAGCTATGATTCGGAAAATGAGTTAATGCTCTAACTACACTGTTGTTTACAAAACTACCTGATTAGCGACTCCCCATTTTCTCCTACCCACCCCCGAACCCAGCCTCTGGCAACCACCATTCTACTCTTTACATCCATGATTCGGACTATTTTAGGTACCTCGTGTAAGGGGAATCATGTAGCATTTGTCCTTCTGTGACTGGTTTATTTCACCCAGCCTAATGGCGCAAGGCTCACCCATGTTGCTGCATATGGCAGGACGTCCTTCTGTGTAAGGGCGAATAAAATACTCCATTGCATGTATATGCCGCATTTTCTTTATACCTTTATCAATGTGCATAAAATTTCAGTTATACAAGATGAGAAGTTCCAAACATCTGCTTACAACATTGTACCTGTTGATACAATACTGTATGGTACATTTAAAAATCTGCTGAGAGGGTAGATGGCCTGTTAAGTGTTCTAACCATAATAATAATAATAATAAAAAGCCTGCCTATTTTGTTATTCTGTGGTGTGGTAGGTTGTCTTACTGTTCTCCACTTTTCACTCCTTCCCCTGTGTGAGGACACATGCCTGTCCCTGCGGTGTAACTTGACTTAGAGTGTGCCCTGCCGGTATCCTCCTCCATCCACGGGAGGCTCGGCCACTAAAGAGTGAGTGGAAGTGCCATCTGCCTCATCCACACAGAGTGATAGAGGTGGTTGGGCTGAGACTCTGGCTCTCCCTGCTCAGCCATGGGAAGGTCCGTCCCAGGCCACAGTGGGTGCCGTGGCAAGCGAGCAAAGAGACCCAGAGAAGAGAGCCAGAGCCCCGGCCACACACGGCAGCCACACGTCACGGGAGCAAGAAGTCCACGCTTGCTGCTTTAAGCCACTGAACTGTGGGGGCTGTTTGCCAAAAAGCACAAAGGCTAATTAGTACATATGGTACATAGTGGCTTCATAAATAAAATTTGGAAAAGTATCCATTTGTTATTCCATCAGGGAGTTCAATGCAGCCAACACCCCTGACGACCTACCATGTGCCAGTCTGGGCCAGACACATAAGGATGGGTGTGTTAATTCCCACGTTCTTAGGCCCCTCTAAGTGCAGGGACTGGGGAGGGGAGGAGGGGTAGAGAATGGGGTATTTGTAAATCACCAGGCACCGTGCAAAGCACAGAAGTAGAGGCATATGTGAAATGTTCTGAGAGCCCAGAGGAGAGAGTCACTAACTCACTGATAGTCCCACGTCACGGTAGTAATAGCTGTGGTAGGAATTTATTGCCACCAAAGAAACCGCTACTTAAAAGCTGCTGACTAGGGGCACCTGGGTGGCTCAGATGGTTAAGCATCTGCCTTCCGCTCAGGTCATGATCTCCAGGTCCTGGGATCGAGTCCCACATGGGCTCTCTGCTCAGTAGGGAGTCTGCTTCTCCCTCTCCCCACTGCTCCTGCTCTCTCTCTCTCTCTCTCTCTCTCTCTATCTCTCTGTCTCAAATAAATAAATTTTAAAAAAAAATTCTTAAAAAAAAAAAAGCTGCTGACTATTTCCATTTCTAGAAGGGGAAACCCCGTCTTCTTCATCCCGAGGAAAACATTTGAGTGGGCTGTTGGAGTCAAGCAGATGTCAGGGAAGATCCTCATTTCCAGGGATGGGTGTCTTCAAGATTTCTGGTGGAGTTGGGGCCTTGGCAGAGCCCGCCCAGTGCCATCCTCCACGATGCATGATGCTCAAAGGCCCTGCTGTCTCCTGGGAGTGAGCCACCCAGACCCCATCTTCCTCTACTTTGCCTTCTTCTAATTATTAGGATTTCCCTAACAAACTGAAATAGCTTCAGGGTTGGTTAGCCAGCGGCAGCAAGGGCCACCAAGGAGCACCGAGAGGAGGCTCGTCAGAGAGAAGAGGCCTCTGGGCTGGTGAGCTGACCTCTGTGAATTTAGGGGAGGGTTGGCCCTGGGTTTGGTGAGTGACTGAGGTTGGAAATGTCTTGAGACATTGTCACTTTGACACTACGTCTGTGTTCTCACATCCTCGGGACCTCCTTGCTGCCTCACCGCTGTGCCCTGTCTCCACCATCTCCTCTCTCCAATCCCCTCTTCTTCTGCTCAGCTGGCCTGCTGCCCAGAGGATGCCCCACCCAGCAAGGAGGTGCCGGCCTCCCCTTCTGGCAAGCTCCCATTCCTCACGTAATTCTCTCAGACCCACTTGGCTTTGAGGAGAGGACCCCCTTTCACCTCCTCATCAAGCCCGCCGATTTCTAGGACGCTTTCCTGCCCAAATCTGTCTCCTTACAGGACAGGGGTGCAAGGAGTCGACATGACAACCAGGGGCACAGAGCTGATTCTGTCACTCTAGTAAGCCCCCAAGGAAGATGTGTGACCCCAGGTGTCAGTGGTTTTCCTTAGAACTGTAGGGTACTTAACACCTCTCTGCCCTCAGCCTTGGGCCATAACTGCCAATTCTGGGGCAACAGGAAAAGTCCTGTATGGTATCCTGTTTTGCATAGAGCTGAAGACAGAGTGCAGGTGTGATCCGATCTGAAGTCACAGAAGCCTATTTACATGCCTTCCTCGGTGCACTGCATTGCATTAGCTCTATGTCTGGGCACTGATTCGAAAGAAATGATCCAAATGCATAGAGCAGACTTCCCAGCTGAGTTAAAGGGTTTCCACCACATCCGGACATATCTAATAAGCGAGGAGGTAGACAGCCTGCAAGTGTCCACTTGGTTTCATGATTTGCACAGGGCATGGGGGATGTGGTGCAGGGGCTGGGAAGGGGGTCATTCCGGGAAGGACCTGGAGGACAGAGACATCAGGGGTTGAGAGGACAGTGCAATGACCCCCAGCCCCATTCACCATGAAGTGGATCTGAGGCCAAAGGTGAAGCGGTGTGGGAGTCATGGGACCCTAGCATCATTGCTAAGACACACAGGAGGCAGGGAGGGATTCTTCCTCTTTCTTTGAGGACCATGGGGATTCTCTGACTTTCTTGGTGAAGGTAGCTTTGGGGACACTGGGAGCGTTCTCCTTGGTGGGGATATCAGAACACTGGCAGCCACGCTGAGAACCGGCAGCAGTCCATAATAGTGGATCAATGGAAAGACCCTGATGTCTAATAACAGAACTCTGGCAAATATGGTTATGGCAATATACTGAACAAAAGAAGCCAGACACAGAAGAGGATAGCATCCATGATTCCATCTATATGAATTCAAAGGAGAGGCACCTGATGATCCATGGTGACAGAAGTCAGGTGGCCCTTACCCCTGGGTGTGGCATGAGGGCACCTTCTGGGGTGATAGAATGATGCTCTATCATCTCGATCGGGGGGGGATGGTTATGTGGGTATATGCATATCAAAACTTGACCAAATTGTGCACCTAGGATTAGTGCACTTTGCTGCATCTAAATTATACTGCCATAAAAAAAAAAAAGAAAGAAAGAAAGAAAGAAACCACCATAAAAATGACAATGTAAGAATTATATAGAGACAGAACTTTTTAATAACATGGAGGAATGACTATACTGTAATCTTTTTTTAAAGATTTTGTTTATTTGAGAGAGAGGGAGATTGAGAGGAGGGGGAAAGGCAGAGAGAGGGGGACAAGCAGACTCCCGCTGAATGCAGAGCCCGATTCGGAGCTCGATCCCAGGACCCCAAGATCACAACCTGAGCCAAAGGCAGGCACCCAACTGACTGAGCCACCCAAGCACCCCTATACTATAATCTTTAGCAAAAAAAAAAAACAAAGAGAGAAGCATATAGGACTGGTATACGTGCAGAAACAATTAATCAAAAAGTATACATGGGAAAAAGTCTGGACTGAAGCACATCCCATGTTCAAAAGTATTGTTTTGAGATCATGAGAGTATGTCTGATTTTTTTCCCTACTTTCCATTTTTCTATTTTTCCTGATGCCATACAATGAGTGTGTGTTGGTTTTATTAGACATTGGTTTTAAAAACTAAAAGACGTTCACAGCCCATCCTGCTGTTGCCTGGCATTGACCTAGAGTCAGGCTGGAACTGTGTGTGTGTGTGTGTGTGTGTGTGTGAGCTGCCGTGTGGCAGGTGGCAGGAGCTGTGCTCATGCGGCTGACCCTCCGAACCCAAGGAGAGGAACCAACGTCTTCCCCAGCCCGAGGCAGATGCTCTGCATCCACAGTGCAGAGATGAGTGGGCAACAGGAGTCGAGCCACCCATCCAGCATGGATTCAATGTCTGGATGCCAAGCAGCTACTTCAGAGTCTGGCCAGCTCCCCGAAAGGAGGGTGGGCGCAAGATGCCTCCAATATGGGCATCGAGTCTAGAGTGACAAGCAGGTCAAAAGATCATTTCTCATGGGTAGTCTGAACGTCATCCCCAGGAGAACAAGAGCTCTGCAAACGGGGGCCAAAGAGAATCATGAAAGAGACCATGAAACTCAGTCATGGCATGACAGACTGAAATGTTTCCTTGATTCCAGGCTGAAGAAGTTCCCGTGGGTCCTCACTTCCTTGTAACTCCTTTGGCTGAGGCTCCATCCCAAGAGGTGACCTGAATCCCCCTCTGGACCCAGAAACCCCAAAAGGGGTGACACACCCGCTAAGTTGGGCTTCCATGTTCTAGGAATCCTCACCCTGTTTCCCCTCCAAATGTGTATTGTCTACACCAGCTTGGCCATAGAGTCATCCAGTATTGAATGGGGGAGCTGCCTTCCGGACGCCCGGGTCTAGCACAACACCCAACAGATGACGATAGGGAAGTTCAGAGAGGGGAAGTATCTTGCCAAGGACACACATTAGGGGGTGGGGGGTCAGCAGCACCGTCTGGGACTGCAAACCTGCACCACTACTCCATACTGCCCTCTGGGGGCGAGGACCCATCACATCCTCAGCCGCCCGGACGATGGACAGCAGAACCTCACAGGGCGAAGCCCCAACTCTGGTGGTGAAAGTAAAAAGCCAGCCGTGGTCACATACAGAAATGTAACATTTATCCAGCAGCGTCTGAGAGTTCTACACACACACACACTCACATTACCACCAGTGAACACAAGGCTGCTCTTCGGACGACCAAAACTATCGACGCCACCTATTTTCTGCAAAATTCTATATTGATTTATTTGCTACCTATTTTGTGAACCCATATTTTTGTGAAATATAAGGCCTTCTTTACATAGCCCACAGAGGGCCGATATCTGTGAAGCACCGTATTCTTGTTATATCATTTGATCTTGACCACAGACCTATCAAATAGGTTTGTGATTTGGGTGGTTTTTTTGGTTTGTTGTTTTTTTTTTTTTTGCCCCCATTTCACAAATAAGAAAAACTAAGGCTTGGGGAGTTTCAAAAGCTCGTTTCAGAGCCAAGTGGCAAACGATGAAGCTTGGAACTCACCCCTGGAGCACGTCTGCAGAGGCGGGTTCTTAATTGTTGCCTCCTGACTTGCACACACGAGATGAACTTGAAGATTTTTTTTTTTTCATGATTCACTGTCCTGGTTGTGGTTACCAGTTGTTGGGTTCTGTTGTGACCCAAGAGCATGGCCCTGGCTGGGTGGTTATTGATTGCTGGGCTCTTTCTATGCGCTTTTCTGGCTGTCCCAGCCATCATCTCCTTCTAGTCTATTCTCCAAGCACTGGTCCCTAGCTTCAGCCCTGCAGCTTCTAGGCTGCTGAGACTACTCTGCTCTAGACGAGGACCCCGGGAACCAATTTCGTTAAAATGTTATCAAATAAACTGTCCCTAGGAAAGGATCTCGGAATGAGCGACTAGAAGTTTGATGTCTCCCGAGTGGATATAATGCGCTAAATTCTGGGTGTGGCTGCCTCTTGTGCCCCTCCCCACAAACCCATTATTCAGCCCATTGCACGGATGGGAAAGCTGAGGGTAGGGCGGGGCTTCAAGCTCCGGCTGTCTGGCTGCAGAGGCCACGCTCTTAGCCCTGTGCGATGCTGCCTCCACAGGTTTGGGGTCTCCGCCCTTTCTTAGACCACAAGCCGGTGCTTCTGATTCTATAGTGGAGGAAGTGGAAGGCCCCAGAGGGCGCTCTTGAGGCTCAGGGTGCTGTCCCCTGTGTTCTCCGCTCAGTAGTCAACAGTTGAGGTTTTTAGATAAGTAACCAACCACCAAGAAAGCTCTCTGTGGCTGCATATGGGGCTGTCATATACTCCCGAACCTGACCCTATGTCATCAATTGTTGTTCGTTTTCTGTGGACAACTTCTCAGCTGCAGGATCACACTGCTGCTTATATGTCGGCACAGTGCAGACGCTCATGAACGCCTCCTGGTTTGGAGGGCTGCAACATAGTAACCAGGTGGAGGAAATCCGTAATGACAAGCCCCACAACATAGCCGACCCCACAACATAGCCAACCCCAAGGCAACGTGTTTAGCTCACAGGTGAACCTGCAAGGAAAGCCCTTTAGACAATCAGTCGTTTTCGTTTGCAGAGAAAAAGAGTACTGGGGGGTGAGCTATGGGTGTGAGCTGGGGTGGGCACAGGGATGGGGGGAACGTGGGGAAAGGGGACCATGGGGATCATGGGAAGTATTCCTCTCTCAATTTCAAGTTGGCTTCAGTGGCTTTGATTGAGGACAAAGAGTAAGAGAATCAGAATCTCTCCTGTTTAGCCTCACCATTGATAAGCCCTGTGGTCTTGTACAAATAAATCCTTGGCCTCTGAAACAGCCATTTCTTTCGGCAAAATGAGGGATTTCGACTTGATCAACGTGAATGGTCTTCTAGTTCTAATATCCTTCAGTCCTATTTTCTAACAGATTCTAACAGATTTTGTTTTCTGCTCAGAAAACAAAAGACCTAAGTGTAATCAGGGAAATCCATGAATAAGCTCTCAGGCCAGACATCTAGTCTCCGGAGTATTTTAAGTTCAATTGAAAAAGAAGAAGAAGAAGAACTGTTTTCTGATTTTCTTTTTTTTTTTTTTTTTTTTTGGGGCCAGGCAATATACTTATTCACTAAAACTCCGCCTCCCCCTTTCAGTAGAAACTGTGCATTTCCTACTTTTATGCTGCCTATATGTTTGATTTGCACAGCTCAGCTGGTCAGAGGAGCTGAGACATCCGTCCCCCTACGAGAACCCTCCCGGTAAGTCACCTTTCAGACACTTTGCCTGTTAGTTAGCTCTGCTTCTGTGATGAGTAAAAGGCTTACAGGAAACCCATTAGACAAACACCAGCTGCTCCTAGAACTATCTTGAAATATAATCTTTGAGAGAAGAAAAGAGTTAGAATTTAGAATGAGTTTCAGATTGTGATAACATCAAGGATACAAGACACGATTGTGAATGAAAGATTGTAAAGGGATCGATATTGAAAGAAAGGAAGGAAGGAAGAAAAAAGAAGGAAAGAAGCTTCACCTTTCAAAAGAAAGTCTTTCAAGAGAGATGATTCTTGGCCAAAATCTTGGCAGAGGTTATCTTCTGGTAAGAAGAACTGAAACCCACCCCCACCCGCCTGGGCCGGGATGCCCTCTGAATGTGTCTCCAAGCAGAAGTTGTATCTAAGTGTGGCTCTTGTGTTTCTTTGTTTTTTCCCCCCATAAAAGAGGGAAGCTAAATGTTGTCCAAATTAATATTGTATTACAAATATCAAATTAAGTTTCCCTTTAATATATCAGTTCCACAGCACATTTAGTGTAATGATTCTTGTTCTGGCTCAGAATTTAAGATGAAAGTTTCTGTATGCTCCTCCCAGCTGCCTAATCTGAGGTCCAGGGGGCTTGAGACCCACAGGGATTAATTAAAGAAACTTCTCAATCAAGCAATGAACCTGAAATAGACCAGGCAAGCCAGTGTGAGGGCAAATGTGATAATGGGAGTCTGGATTTTACAGCTGGCTGCTGGCTCCTGTGACCTTCTCGGGGGGACTCAGGTTTCAGCCCATTTCGTTCTGACTATATCGAGGCGCCTGGCTGGCGATGCCACGTTCCAGTTCTCGCCCCAAGAAGCGAGAGACCGGGGTAGCTGGTGGATAAGAGCACAGACTGCCTGCCTTCGAAATCAGTTGCTTCCTAGCTTTGTGTCTTTGGGCAAGTTACTCATCTTCTCTGTGCTTTGAGGTTCTCATCTGCAACATGGGGACAATAACATGACCTGACTCCTACGGTGACCTTGAGGATTAATTGAATGAATGAACGGATGTGAAGCTCAGAATAGTAGTTGGCCCACAGAGTGCCCTGGGGGATGGTTAATGGGTTACTAGCCCTCGGGGGGTGGGGGGGGGGAGGGTGCGGCTCTGTGTAAGCTCAGCCCAGGGAAGGGCAGCTACAGCCTAGCTTGTAAAATAGCATTAGACGGCACCCGAGTCAGTTTCTTGAAATTGTGACCAAAGCTGCCTTCGCTCCACATAGCTACAGAGCACCAGATTTTATTGGGTCAGACGACGCTTTTGTGAATTTCCCCGAGAGTCACGCTCTTGGTCTAGCGAGCAGAGACGCTGGCGGTGATCCTGCCCTTTCCTGCCAAAGTCCTTCGTTTGGCCACACAGGGGAACTCAGTTAAATGTAGAAATCAAGGCACCAATGTTGAAAGCCTATGGAGGTATGAGACTGTTTGTGCTCGTGGTGGACTGCTCAGTACATTCTAGGGCTTTATAAAAGATCACTTTTTCTTAGATCACTTTTTCTTTATTCACAAGGTCGAGCAAAATGAATTATCAAACGTCGACTCCATACTATGACATTGATTATGGGATATCAGAGCCCTGTCAGAAGACCAACGTGAAACAGATCGCAGCCGGGCTCCTGCCTCCGCTCTACTCGCTGGTGTTCATCTTCGGCTTCGTGGGCAACATGCTGGTCATCCTCATCCTCATCAACTGCAAGAGGCTGAAGAGCATGACGGACATCTACCTGCTCAATTTGGCCATCTCCGACCTGCTCTTCCTTTTCACCATCCCGTTCTGGGCCCACTATGCTGCAGACCAGTGGGTCTTTGGAAATAGAATGTGTCAGCTTTTGACAGGGCTCTATTATATCGGCTTCTTCACTGGCATCTTCTTCATCATCCTCCTGACCATTGACAGGTACCTGGCGATCGTCCACGCGGTGTTTGCCATAAAGGCCCGGACGGTCACCTTTGGGGTGGTGACAAGCGGGGTCACCTGGGTGGTGGCCGTGTTCGCCTCTCTCCCTGAGATCATCTTCACCAGATCCCAAAAAGAGGGGTCTCGCTTTACTTGTAGCCACCACTTCCCACCCAGTCAGTACCGTTTCTGGAAGAACTTCCTGACGTTGAGGATGAGCATCTTGGGCCTGGTCCTGCCCCTGCTTGTCATGGTCATCTGCTATTCGGCCATCCTCAAGACCCTGCTCCGGTGCCGAAACGAAAAGAAGAGGCACAAGGCCGTGCGGCTCATTTTCGTGATCATGATTGTTTACTTTCTTTTCTGGGCTCCCTACAACATCGTGCTTCTCCTGAGCACCTTCCAGGAGTCCTTCGGCCTGAACAATTGCAGCAGCTCCAACAGGCTAGACCAAGCCATGCAGGTGACCGAGACGCTTGGGATGACGCACTGTTGCATCAACCCCATCATCTACGCCTTCGTCGGGGAGAAGTTCAGAAACTACCTCTTGGAGTTTTTCCGAAAGCACATCGCCAGACGCTTCTGCAAACGCTGCCCCGTCTTCCTGGGAGATGTCTCCGACAGAGCAAGCTCGGTTTACACTCGATCCACTGGGGAGCAGGAGATCTCTGTCGGCTTATGAGCTGGACTGGGTCTTTGTACACAGCCTGGGGGTGGGAGTGGTTCTTTTGAAAAGGAAGTCACTGTCATAGAGGGTCTACGATTCACCCATCCATCTGGCACCTCTTTTAAGTATATTAGATCATTTGAGACCATCACTTCCGGAGAGCCAAATCAATATATGCAGATGGTATAACAACTTCTCATCTCCGCTCCACGCACATCAACTTATTGACACACTCTCCCTTCAATGCAGAAGTTCATTATTAAAAAAAAAAAAAGAATCCTCGGAGAACTGCTGACTCTTGAGTCTGGTTAACCTGAACGGGAATACCAAAATTAATCAATAAACATATTGTATAGTTTCTTACCTGCTGGAGGCAACAAGGGCAGGTTGCAGATGTGCTTGAAGCAGGTCCTTGTTGTGATCGGTTCAGAAACTACATCTTCCAAGTGTGATCTGCCCTCCAAGGTGTGGTTGGTAAGTTCCACAGATGTTCAGGACCAGGTGAGAACCGGGAGAGCTTCTTCAGTGAGAAGGGGATCCTCTGCTGGGAGAGGGGAGGGAGGCTGAGCTCCAAGCTGCAGACCCCACACTCGTGGAGTGGCTCGGCAGCTGTGGGAGGACGGGTGCTGGCTGGGGAAGGCAAGGTGAGCCTGGACCATGGAGAGCGTGCATAGCACCACCTGTCGAAGTCAGAGCAGGGACTGTCCAGGAACACATCCAGGTGAGGACTGGTTACATAGTTAATGAACACGCAGAGCTTTCTAAGCATTGAGCTAAGAGACCCCGGGGCAGGGAGGGAAGCCCGAATGAGTAAATTTCTGCCCTCCCGGGCACACCACGGCTTAAACATTGTCTTCTGGATTCAACTCTCTGTAGGCAGAAGGCAGAAGGGACGGATTCATTTGGAAACAGGCCGCCCGCAGCTTGATCAGCCACAAAAAGCATGATTTGAGGACCTTTGTGTTTCAGGCTGAGTGTGGTGGCTTTAGCCACTCCTTCCAGCCGCCTTCTACAGACACATTGTCCCCAAACACTAAGGGATCTTTTCAGGAAAGAGTCATGACTTCGTGTTCTGCAGTTGCTACTTTTATTATTCTGTACCTGCCTGAGATGGTTTTGAATCTGGGGAGTAGCTAAGACCATTCGGGAAAGATCAGGTGATGGAACGTAAAGAAGGGAGAGTCGCTCGAGAGGGTAAGGTGTCAGAATAGTAAGAGGTGCTACGGATTTTTCTCAAGCTCTGAAAGACGAGACTTGAGAGCGTGGGCGGCAACGGGAAGCACCCAGAAATGCTCTGAAGGTTGTTACGAGGGTATCAATATCCTCTGACCCTAGCCTCTGAGTCAACTCAAAGACATTCTGGTATTTTTGTGTATGTGTATATATATATATATATCTCCTATATATGTGAGAATCTTACATCAGTGGAAAGTTACAAATTGCTTGGAAGAAAATCCTTACCCAATAAAAACCGCCCTCTAAAATAATTGATTGTATTCTTGTTCTTTCAGTCAAGTGCCCATTTAGAGACTAGCATACGAGACTGCAAAAGCCCTTTGAAAGTAGCTGGTTTTGGAAAATTCCATACGTACACACCCTCACACAGACACAGAGAATCACACTGCTTTTTAAATATTTGTAAAAGTTGCCCCCCTCCCTGGGTCAAACTGCCAGAATAATGTGTTTGAAGATGCGGTTTCTCAGGGTAGCATTTCTGAGCAATGGACACCGGAAACCTTTAAATTTCTAATTTAATTCTACTACCAGAGCCAAAGACCTGACACATTTCTAAAACACAGAAAATCGATGTGTGTTTAAGCCCACGCCAGCTATCCGTGTTTGACAGTGAAGAAGGCCTAAGGTCCCAGGTTGGTCATTTCTGTCATCCTAAGTTGCAGACACATGATGCATGAAGAAGGCTCCTCATGAGGTTGGTTTTCTTTCATTTCAAATCCCTTCCAAACACTTGTCTGTAACCACAGTGGTGACAATGATTGTGTCCCTGACATTTGGATTTCTGGGCATGTGTCTCTTATCCGCAGAGAGGACAGGTGCTCCCAAGAAGAGGTGACGGGTTCGGGTCACATCCACGGTTTGGGGCTGGCTGGTTTTCAGGTTCTCACCTTCCGGAGCAGGTCATCATCCTACCTGGAGGTCCGTGGAAGGAGCAGAAGACAAGGACAGCCGGAGCTGGCTCGTACGATGGCTTTTCCCTAACAGCCTGAAGGACTGCCTTCCACCCGCGAGTCAAGAGGAGGCATGACCCAAGGAAGGGCAGAAGGGGGCTGAGTCTGAGCAGAGGAAGGGTCTAGGGCACCCTCCCATCATCCCCGCACTCCTCACTTTGCAGGGCCCTCCACTGCCCAGCCCTCTTCCGCCCCAGCCCCGAGACCGACAAACAAGTTTGGACTCATAGTGACCTTCGGGTTCTGACTCCACTCACCATGTCCTGGTCGAAGGTACCCTATCCCCAGCCCGGAGGCCTCTGTCATGGAAGGGGTTACGTATGTGCCATGGATAAAGTCCGAGTAAAGTGAACGTCCTCAGCAGGGAGGGAAAATGTGAAAATTCATAAATTAGGATTCTGCTCACACGTGTATTTCAAGGTTCTAGTTTAAACACCTGCAACGTTAGGGATGCCCGGGTGGCTCAGTCGGTTAAGGATCTGCCTCCGACTCAGGTCATGATCCCAGGGTCCTGGGATCAAGTTCCACGTTGGGTTCCCTGCTCAGCAGGAAGCCTGCTTCTCCCTCTGCCTGCCACTCCCCCCCGCCTTGTGCTCTCTCTCTCTCTGACAAATAAATAAAATCTTTAAAAAAAGTTAAAAATAAACACATGCAACACAAGTAAAGTGTATTGGCCTTCCCACTGTTATCATGAAATCAAGTTATTTTTCTGCATATGGTGCCGTATTTCCTATTTGCCTTCAGTCTTTTCTAGAAACATTTTTACAAGTCTTAACTTCTATTTGGCTCCATATTGTTACTACTTTAGTTTGTTCATTAGTTCTGCATCACTGTGGTTCCGTCCTGTGTCAGGAGCTTGGTTTTGTTTCTTTTTCTTATGGTTGGTACCCAGTTTTTTAAACACTTGATTAAATAAAGTCTTTTCAAACTGGAATCCAACGGGCGGGCCTTTAGAGCCAGTAAGAACCCTGGGCTACACTGCCTCCCTGTGGCCACTTTGGTAACCAACAAGGGCGTCCCCAGCTGAGCCTGGACCCCAGAGCCGGAAGAGCCGGGGACGGTTTAGTGTTTTTGCCTCTGCTGGTACCATTCCTGTTCTGGACAAGAGGTGTTTCCACAGCAGCTCAGGGTAGATAATGCTCGACTCTTTCTGTTTCTGAAGAACAAGAGGAGCGCCCGTGGATGATCCTGCAGTGGAAATGAAGGTGCCAACAACCCAGGGCCCATCTCTGCAGATCACTGAACCCACAGCCTTGCAGCAAGGTCACAAAAAGTTTTGTGACAAAGTATTTTTCACAGGCCATAAAAACGTCACAAGCCCCTCCCCTGTGTCTCTCTTGTATATCCAGCAATGGTCTCAGGTACCAAGTGTTTGAAGCAATCAATTATGATCACCATGGGGCGCCTGGGTGGCTCAGTCGTTAAACTTCTGCCTTTAGCTCAGGTCATGATCCCAGGGTCCTGGGATCGAGTCCCACGCTGGGCTCCCTGCTCAGCAGGAAGCCTGATTCTCCCTCTCCCACTCCCCCTGCTTGTGTTCCCTCTCTCGCGGTGTCTCTGTCAAATAAATAAATAAAATCTTTAAAAAAAAAAAAATTATGATCGCCGGTTTGGGTGGCTTTTTTTTTTTTTTTTTAAATTCACAATTCCCTTTCTCCACTGCTGACTTCACCTCATCCAGATCCCTCTGCTGGTATCACATCATCTGAAAACAGAAAGGTTGTTGAGGACCAGTCAGCCCCACCCCTCACTCTATGGAGGAAAACAGAGCCCACCCCCCGGGGCCAGATGTTCTGACGTCAGAGGTCAAGGTGGGCCAGAGCATCAGGCCTGGTTTCAGTTCTCCTGGGGTTTCCCCGTCAAACTTAGGCAGCCAGCGATGTGCCATTGAGGAGAGCAGGTGGGGGCCTTGCCCGTCAGCACCCATGTGAATGATGGAGAGCTGGCTCTCCTGGCCCCTGGCTTAACCTTAGCTGCTCGTTGGAGTTACCTGGGCAGTCTTACAAATAGGGACACCTGGTCCCACCCCTGGGATTCTGATTTGCTAGGTCTGCAGAAGCTCCCGGCAATTCTAAGTATAGCCAACTTTGGAAACCACTGCTTAAAGCCCATCAAACTGAGCGTGCTAGAGGGAGGCTGCTGTCTGTGGAGGATCCTTCCGTGAGTGACATGTGGGCCAGGGAGGGTCTGGATTCAACTCCTCGATTTTCACAACAGAACATTAACTCTGGGGCGCCTGGGTGGCTCAGTTGGTTAGGCGACTGCCTTCGGCTCAGGTCATGATCCTGGAGTCCCGGGATCGAGTCCCGCATCGGGCTCCCTGCTCGGCGGGGGGTCTACTTCTCCCTCTGCCCTCTTCCCTCTCGTGCTCTCTGTCTCTCATTCTCTCTCTCTCAAATAAATAAATAAAATCTTTAAAAAACAAAGAAAGAGGGCGCCTGGGTGGTTCAGTTGGTTAAGCGTTTGCCTTTAACTCAGGTCATGATCCCAGGGTCCTGGGATTGAGCCCCGCATTAGGCTCCCTGCTCACAAGGAGCCTGCTTCTCCCTCTCCCTCTGCCTCTCCCCCCTGCTTGTGTTTGCTCTCTCTCTCTCTCAAATAAATAAATAAAATCTTAATAAATAAATAAATAAAATGCCTGTATTTTGGTTTATTTCCACTAGGTAATATTCTTCAAAAATCCCTTTTAAGAAAATTACGATTTTTTTTTCCTAACAGATCATCAAATCAGGACTCTCTGTTGATTGGTTATGTCACTCCTTTCTACAGGGTGGAAAGTAGAGCCTGCTTGAGGTCCAGCCTTGAGGCCAAGGGAGCTTGGGGAAATGACTCAGCGTCTGTGTCGGAACCTCAGAGTCCCTTCCAGTGACCTGGGATACTATCTGCCTGATAACTAGGTTGGGATGGAGTATCTAAACCAGCCCTGTTCAGAAGAACTTTCTGTACTGATGGAGATGCACTGTCCAGTACAATGGCCACCAGACCAGTGCAAAATGTGGCTAATGTGACTCTATAGCTGGGTTTTTAATTTTATTTCATTTTAATTAATTTTAAAACATCCGATGCATGTCTCAATGGACAGTGCAGGGCTTGCATACAATAAGTAGTCAAGAAATGTCAGTATAACTTGGATTGTGGCATCAGGGATTCCTAGGCAAGTTGCTCAATGCTTCTAGACTCAGTTTCCTCATCTGTGAGATGGGGCAGAGAGTAATACCTACTAGCTCATACGTTTGTGTGAAGGATGAAATGAGAGATCGCGTGTTGGCTGAATGCAGTGCCTGGCACATTGGAGTTCTGGTCGCTGTTAGCTACTTTCCTAATAATGACTATTTCCTCTTTAGATTAGAATTGCGCTCGCCCAAAGAATGCTCTTCAGTGTGATGGGCAACGCAGCTCCCCTTCTGCAGTGGAATGGAAGCTACTGGGGACCTGGGAGGGCTCTTGGGTGTGAAATCAAACACCGTGGATTGACAGCAATAGATGGAAAGGGCCTCCCAACCTTATGGCGTTGTGTTCAATCCGTCTGACCCTGTGTAGGGTCTTGGGAAAGGCTTTCAGGGGCGGGGGGCGGGGATTAACCTGAGAATGTAATTCTGGCTGATGCAGACCCTGCAGCTCTAAGCAAACCGGGAGGTGGGGGGCGGCAGGCCAACTCCCCGCCCCCTCCCCCTGTCTGGAATTCCGACAGAAGCTGACACACCCGGAGAAGCAAGGCGGGAACATAGTTCACTTGTGCGTTGACCATGTGCAGCCCAATTTTAGCAGACATTCACTCGTTCATTCATTCATTCAACCAACATTTACGGAGGGCCTATGCATGACCGACAGGGGGCGTCGGGTAAGGGAGCTCGCAGGGGGCGCTGTGCCCTGGAGTGAGGGTTGTTTGGAAGCTCCGTGGGTGGAGCCTAGGAGGAGCAACTATGCAGGCGCCAGCAGGTGACCCAGGGCTAGGTACCATCCAGGTTCCTAAAGTGGCCCAGCACTGATGAGTGGGACAGACAGACAGTCAGTGCTTTAACTGACCATTTTTGTAAGGAAAGCGTAGCTACAACCGCTTCTTGGTTCCATGCCTCCTTAAACAGCTTATGCGGAACAGAACGTACTCGTTCCTTGTCCCCGCACCAGCACCGCTGCCCCGAGGCGGGGTCCTCCAGGGCCGGGGAGAGGGCCGTGTCTGCACAAGACACCAGCTGCCTCTTTGAATTCTTGGGGCTGGTTTTGTAGTTTCCCCGTCTCCACTTTGGCTTTCAGCTTGTTTGTACCAAAGGGAGTACCGCCCCTGCTTCCCGCTACTCGGTCATCCATCCCGGAGGCGATAAAGTTACCACTGTCTTATCATTTGGGAGAGATTTCCTGCGTATATAAGCAAGATCACGTCTCTACCCTTATCCCCCATGTTTACACCAATGCCAGTATTATATATCACACCTTGGGTTTTTTACACTCTTGGGCAAGCTTCTTAAGCTCTCTGTGCCTCACTCTCCGCATCTGTGGAATGGGGGTAATAACACCCACCTCATTGATTGTTCCAGGGAGTAAATGAACTGATATGTGACCTGGCATGTGGCAACCGTCGCATGACAACCATCCGGTGAACTTTAGCTGTCGTCCACCATGCAGATTTTATTTTTATGCAAGTGAACTTAGTAACTTTTTCTTTGGTTTCTGGGTTTTATGACATGCTTGGAAAAGCCTTTCCCATCCTGAGATTGCAAAAATCTCCCATTTTTATTTCTAATGCTGTTATGGCTTCGTTTTTTTTGTTTTGTTTTTATCATTTGTATTGCTCTTTCTGGAATTCATCTGGAATGCAGAGTGAAGTGGGAATCCCAAGGTTTTCTCCAGATGGCACACGACCATCCCAAGACCATTTATGAAATAATTTTCCTACTAACTTAAAATGCCATTTTTATACTATTTTAGGCTCCCCGCCCCCATGTTTGGCCCTACTTCTATATTTCCAGTTAAAGGACTAGATCCCCGGGTGTCATTTAATGTGTTTCCTTCCTTGGGGCGGCCCCTCCATGCGTGGGGCGAGTCCTTCCATTGCTCCACATGGGGCGCTCTGCCCCTGCTTCCGTGATGAGAACATCGATCGGTGGGTCAGGGACTGTCAGTCAGAGCTGCTCGAGTCCCCCACTGGTCACAAATTAGAGGCTGACTGCCAACCACAAAGTGCAGGGATGTGCTGCTCAGGGTGAGTCGATCAGATTCTTGCTCCCAAAAGTGATGACCACGAATGCACCCCACAGTGGCCAGCGGTGCCCTGGAGGGAGGCCTTAGGATCGCCTGGGGAGATGTATGTCCCAAGGCAGAGCTGCCTGGGGTCCCATCTTTCCCTGGGGAAAACATCCAGTGATTCCTTCTGTCCTATGATCAACCCCAACAATGTTCCGGCTCTCCCCATCACAGCTAGACGAGCTGAGCCCTCACTAGTACAGACTTAAAGCCCCCACTTCTCCCACACTCAGCAAGAAAGTTCTCCACTTCATCCTTTTCAGCTGCCCCTTTCTTTTTCTAGATGAGTTGATGGGTTTTCATGCACAGATTGTTTACCAGCTTTTGTAGCTTGAATGTGTGTTGGCCTTCCCCCCAAATCTGTGTGTTGAAATCCTAATGCCCCATGTGATGGGGTTGGGGGAGGGGGGCTTTGGGGGTGACGAGAGCATGAGGGTGGAACCTCACAAATGGGACCGATGCCCTTGTAAGGAGAGACACGAGTGCGCGCTCCTTCTCTCTGCCCTGCCCCCTGTGAAGACAAAATGAGAACATGGCCATCTGCAAACCAGGAAGTGGGCTCCCACCAGATGCCACATCTGACTGCCGCTTGATCTTGGACTTCCAGCCTCCAGAAGTCTGAGAAGCACATGTCTGTTCTTTAAGCCCCCCCACCCCCCACCCAGGTCTGTGATAATTCGATACAGCAGCCCGAGCCAAGACACCAGCCCTTTCTTCTACTAGGTGTTTGTCTACCCCCTTGGAAATTGCTTTCTCAAGGGGCCTTAAGACAATTACAAAAGACTCCTGCTTTTGGAAGATGAACCCCTTTGCCCGTCTCATGGTATTCCTCCTCGATCAAAAACTCCACTCCCTCCTTCACCCCGCACAGAGTTAACTAACAGATGGTGGTGGAAAGTGTCACTAATTTGGGACTGGCATGTTAAGTTATTCAGTGATTTACCTAATGTTCATTGAGAAGCTGGTGTGCTGGGGCTGGAGCCCAGCATGGCCCAAGTCCTGTCTTCAAGGAGCGACGGGAGCCAGGGAAACGGAGGGTCCCCATGAGAGTGAGGGGCGCCCCCTGTGCCAAGGCTGGCCCCCCAGCCCAGAGCTTCAGCCAGAGCCTGGGAAGCAGGAGGAGCCCTCTGATGCCTCCCATCTCCACCAGGCCCATACTCGGAAGCACAGAGGAAGCTAGTCTCTAGCCAAACAAACGCTCCCTCACTCTGAGCTGGACTTGTCTTAGAGCCCGGACTTCTATTCCCCCCCCCTTCCTAGCATCTTGGGTCCCATCCTGGGACTCAGGAGCCAAATTCAGGAGGTACAGGGCTCATTTCTCCCGGTCCCCCAACTCTCATGGTTGATTCTTCAGGTGCAGCGGTTATCCACCAGAGCATGCTTCTCCTCCAGGGGCCATCCGGCAAGGTCTGGCTGTATCTTGGTTGTCACCATCTGGGAAGAGGCCAACGACGCTGTTCCACATCCTACGACGCACGGGACAATCCCCCACAGCAAAAGCTTATCCGATCCAAATGTGGACAGTTGCCACGGTTAGAAACCCTATCTGGTGTTTCTGCCTTGCTTGAAGCCTTAGCAAGAGGAATCTGGGGGGGAGCCTGGGAGGCTCAGTCGGTTAAGCATCGACTCTTGATTTTGGCTCAGGTCCTGATCTCAGGTCGTGAGATCGAGCCCCGCATCAGGCTCTGCGCTGTGTGGAATCTGCTTGGGATTCTCTCTCTCCTTCTCCCTCTGCCCCTCTCTGCTCATTCTCGCTCTCTCGAAAAAAAAAAAAAAAAAAAAAAAAAAGGAGTCCGAGGCCTGTAGGGGGCTGGTCCTGGGCCCTCCCAGATTGCTGCAGCTTACTTGTGGAACATTCCAGATCCCTCACATGGCTGCAGGAGACTGGCTGTCCAGACACAATTTCTTCATCCTCATTCATGCCACTCCTCTGCTTCCATGGCCCTCCCACACCTGTCGATGCAAGACATGCCCGCCACGAGTCCCACCGGGGGCCAGAATGCCATACCCTCCAACCCCCATCTCCACTGGCAAGGTGCCCTTAAAACACAGCCATGCCAGGCATCTTTCTGAGTGATCCAGTTTGGAGTGGGAGGTGGTGGTCCTACAAGGAGAAAATACAAGGACAAGTGCATACACGTGGGAGGAATTTTGGTGGAAACGGTGTGTGAGAAAACACGGCGGCAGGGGCGCCTGGGTGGCTCAGTCGGTAAGCATCTGCCTTCGGCTCAGGTCATGATCCCAGGGTCCTAGGATCGAGCCCCACATCGGGCTCCCTGCTCTGCCGGAAGAATGCTTCTCCCTCCCCCACTCCCCCTGCTTGTGTTCCCTCCCTCGCTGTGTCTCTCTCTGTCAAATAAATAAATAAAATTTAAAGAAAAAAGACAAAAAACACGGAGGCAACTTCATGGAACCATAAGTGGTTTCGTGAGAGCAGAAGGCGAGAAGAAAGTGGGAACAGAAAGGACTGCAAGCTGGTGGGTGGAGGGCCGATGAGGCCGGGCCTCGCACAGAGCGCTGAGGGGTGCGGCCAGTGGGGTAGGATGTTTGAAGCCAGGATGGCTAATTGGCCCCTAGAGGAAGGCAGGAATGGAGTCGGAGCCCCAAGGCGAAGGCTGGGCTCTGTTCCTTCTGGGACACAGCAGAGGCCTCTGCCAAGGTAAAAATCTCTGGGTGGAGACAAGTGAATGGATCTGAAAGCTACAGGGGCCAGGGACTCATCAGAACTTGGACTGAGGGAGTGAGGGAAGCAGGGAGGGCAAGGCTAGGGCCCCAGCCCAGGGGGATGCAAAGCACTGGCTTCAGGTGCAGGTTTCAGGACAGGTTGAGTCAGAAATCCCAGGGGCCATCCAGGTGGCAGTGTCACGAGGAGCCGCCTTGAACCCAGCGGAGCACATGTGTGGAGATCCACAGTCACAGGCCATGGACACCATGGGGGTGGACAAATGACTCCAGACAGAACCCAGAGGAGCACACAGGCAGCCTGCAAAGGAGCCCCAAGGGGAAGGAGAAGGTGTGCCGGGAAAGGCAGACCCGGTGCAAAGAAGAGCCCTCTGGGAGGAAGAAGAAGTGTTGGCAATGTCAAACGCTGCGGAGGCATGAAGCAAGGTAAGAGCGGAAAAAACATCCATGCACTCCATGATGCAATCAGAAAGGCAAGATAACCTCATGGCCCCTGCCTGTCTCTTCCTGCGCCGACTCACGGCCAAGGACACAGAATCGTGCTTCCTCCTTCGCTCTGGAAAAGCACTACTGCTGTACCCAAGTTCTGGCCTCTCCGGGGGGGACAGGACCAGCCTCTGTGGTTTGAAGTTCCTGGTTAGCTGGTTAGGGGCCCTTTCCAATCACCCTTTCCAGAGGTTGCAGCTGAATCCTTTGGGACAGGAAAGGGGTGTGGGGGCCCTGAACTCTGGGGCAGAGATGGGAGCCCCAGGGCCTGCTAGGGAATGGCTGCAGAGCCTCTGAGGAGCCTCAGGGGCCATCCCTGGCCGGGCACTAGGCAGGGAGGGAGCAGAGCCTTTGGTATCCAACATCTGGGGCTCACAGCGGCCTAGGCCCTAGGAGGGGCCCACCGCGACCACGGGAGCAAACCCTGCCTTGCTGTGATGGAATTTTGTTATAATGAGAATGCTACTTGGTTTATTATGTTTTGCCCCTGCTCGTGAAAAGAGATTTTTTTCCAATCTATTTTAAATATGGTTACTATCAGACCAGTGACTGTCCAACCCACCCAGCCCCGCGGAAACAGGAGTGTGGCCACTTAGATGGGGAAGAAGAAAGAGGAAAGAAAAAAGAAAAAGCTGGAGGATGGGGCCTGGGAGGGTCCAGTTCCTCTTCAGCTCTGCTCTTCACACTCAGACGCCAATGGGTGAGTAACCAACAGAGCGGTCACGTGGAGTGAGTGAGCAGGTTGCCCTTGCTGTGCGCGTGACTCCTCCCGCGTGCACGAGTGCACCCAAGGGGCTCACAGCCTTATGACGTGGTGCTTTTAGAAATTCCGGTTGCCATTTCTTGTCATGCAGGAAATTTGTAGGAAACCCAGCCCGTGTCGTGGATGCTGTGGGGTCTGCCCAGACGTCCTCTTCAGGGTCAGTGCGCCCACCCTCCCAGCTGCTGGGGACGGGAACCACCACCCTCAGCCACTGGGACCTGCCTTCTCTGGGCTCTGCCCCCTCCCAGGGGACGACTGAAGCCCATGACTGGCTGATGGGGGGTAGCAAGGGCCCGGCCCCCTTCCCTCCATGTGGGACAGTGAGGAAGGGCCATCCCAGGCCTAGAGCTCCTCGTGGGGTCAGTGGGGGCTTTGGCAGTCTTCACACCGGGGTCTGCTTCTCCCTCTGTTCAGTCTTGCCTTGCCCACTCGCTGATGGGGGTGCCTCCCGGAAGCCCTCCCCAGCCCGGCGTTGGCCTGCAGCTGTCCCGCTGAGCTCTGGATTCCCAGGAATTAGATGGAAAATAGCCTGGTTCCTGCTTTCAGCTTTCTCTTCTGCAGAAACTCAGATGCTGATAAGTAATAAAATGTCTCCCCCCTGAGTTCTGTTTCCCTTGCCTTGCCCCATCTCTGAGATCCAGGTGGATGGCTTCTCAAGAACCTAAAGGAGACGTTAGGAGGAGAAGGGAGGAGAGAAGAGGCTGTGTCCCCCTCACCTGGCTGACTCCCACTCAGGCTTTCTGCTTAGACAACCCCTCCCATGGGACACCATCCCTGGTCCCTCTGGACGGGGCCAGGTGCCCTCACCCATGGCTCCCCTAGCTCCCGTGGGCTTCCCCCAGCACAGCACCAGACTCCCTGGATTACAATCAGTTACGTACCTGCCCAGCTCCCTTTAGAACATCAAAGCCATGAGGGCAGAGGACAGGTCTATTTGCTCACCATTTTCTCCCAGGGCCTGGCAAAGTTCCTGGAACCCAGGAGATGTGTCCTGCAGAGTCTTGCCTAGAACAAATGGCACATTGAAGTAAGGCAACTGAGGAAGGTTGGTAAGAGGATTCCTCCCGAGATTTAGACAGGGTGTAGGGAAACCCCAGTGCATGACTGGTGCAGGAGAGAACATGCCGCCATTCCCACTGCTAGGAACAAGGGGCAGAGCAGGGGGAGGGGCCGCCTAGGTCAAGGTCAAGAGACACACCAGCCCCACCAGGAAGGAGCCAGGGCTCTAAACCCCTTGACCTCAGTCTCTAACCTCCTGCCCAAAGCCCCCATTGGCCAAACCCGACTGAGGCTCAGAGGGTCAGAGGGCGGAGGCTCTGCTGTTAACAAGTTGAGCCTCCACGAATGGGGACACAAAAGCGGCTGGAAGGGGATGGAGAGTGGATATGGAAGGGCAAATGGGGGGGATTTACCAGACAGCAGACACTAAATGCCTGTGAAATGAATAACGTTTTTCGACAAATATTCCTTGAACATTCATTCAATTTATTATTTTGATCACTGTCTGATGTAAACAAATCAGAAGGCACTCACCCTACAAGGCCATTGAGGACGCGGGCCAACACAGAGCAGACAGCAAGGCCTCGGGCCATGTGTGACGGGGAGCTGGTGCCGAGGTCCCCCCAGAAAGCTAGCCCCTGGGGAAGAAACACACCCACAGGCGGGACAATAAGGAAGCTTCGCTGGTTTTGCCTTGACTCCAAGTGGTAGGCGGAAAATCTCTGAGACTCCAAAACCCATACCTCAATGCCAATAGCAAGTTCGATTTTATAATACCCTCAAAATGGGAGACCCCGAGACTAAAATTCAGCTCAGGCCACGGATGCCCCTCGTGGTCCTGGTGGAAACAAATGCAAAACTCCTCCAGGAGGGAGTGGTCCCACCTCAGGCCACGAAAAGCTGCTGCAGGACCAGTAATTCCCAATAAATGTGAACCCACGCGGACACTACAGAATACATGAGGAAATGCAGCACCAAGAGTGACGGCGGGCAGGGCTCCCAGACCGTAGGACTAGAACCCTGAAAGACTTGGTTAAATCATTAGTTGATTCAAAGTATTTTTACAAAGAATCAGCACGCCTAGGTGGCTCAGTCGGTGAAACATCTGCCTTCGGCTCAGGTCCTGATCTTGGGGTCCTAGGATCGAGCCCCGTGTCAGGCTCCCTGCTCAGTGGGGAGTCTGCTTCTCCCTCTCACTCTCCCTCTGCCCCTTGCCCTGATCATGGTCTCTCTCCCTCTCTAATAAATAAATAAAATCTTTTTTAAAAAGTATTTCTACAAGGAATCAAAATCCTTAAAAAAGAACCAAAATAAATAAATAAACTATTATTACCAGAAGTTACTCAGTGTGTATAAAGGTATATTTGACTTTTGTGGAGTTTGTCCTATTGGCCTGCTCAGCACACTGTCTTAGAATGTGAGAAGTCCTGGGCGCCTGGGTGGCTCAGTCGGTTAAGTGGCTGCCTTCCGGGCGCCTGGGTGGCTCAGTTGGTTAGGCGACTGCCTTCGGCTCAGGTCATGATCCTGGAGTCCCTGGATCGAGTCCCGCATCAGGCTCCCTGCTCGCCAGGGAGCCCGCTTCTGCCTCTGACCCTCCCCTCTCTCATGTGCTCTCTCTTTCTCATTCTCTCTGTCTCAAATAAATAAATAAATAAATCTAAAAAAAAAAAAAAAGAGAGAGAGAATGTGAGAAGTCCAAGAAACCCTTCTGGAATAGGAGGGCTTTTACTCAGTAAGTGTTTCTCCTTTCTTTTCCTAGGGATATATACTCCGCTTCTACCCACTTGTCTCTTAACGGGAGAGTATTGGGATAATTCTCAGGATTTACTGATTTGTCCCTCTTTCTTCAACACTGTGTCTGTAATAGGATTAGGTTTAGACATTGCTGTAATGCACCACATTTCAAGGTTTGGGAACAAGATTGTACCCTATTTGCACGGGCAAAATTTTAGAATTTTTGTTAAAGCCATTTTATAAGGTACCGCCAGAAGAGGGCGAGGCTGTTGATCCTGCTTCCCTCTGCCATCTTTCCTGGAAAACCCATACTAATGTTTTTTAGATTTCATAAGGGTTTCAAAAACATTAAGCACGACTTCAGCTTGGAAAGCCCCAGAGGTAGTGGTGTGGACGTGCCGTTGGCTTTATTGTGAGTAGGGACGTATTAGACACTTTGTTACTCATGGGCGCTTCACAAAGCAATTGATGACATTTCAGCACAGAAGGGTGTTGCGGACCCTGGGGAGGCCAATCTCAGCAGGAGGGTGGGGACCGACGCCAGGCTGGAGGGGACTGAGTAGAGAATGAACAAGGACAAAGGAGGAAGAATGGGTTTGGACGATGAATGAAGGCTGCCTGAGAAGAGGGAGCGTATGTAGTTAGAGCAATGTATGGGGTTCAGGATGGGTTTGTGGTCTTTATTTAAGAGAGAGACCAGAGCATTTCAATATTGCAAAGAATGCAGTCAAGGTTGGAACTGACCCTCAGAAACAGTTGCCAGAGGTCAGACAGAATGCAGTCCAGAGAGCAGGAGGAGAAATGAGCCTTTGCTCTCCGAGGAGCAGCTCTGTCCATGGAGGAGGAAGGAATGGAGATGCCATGATGACATATGAAGCCGGGGAGTGGAGAGAGTTCTAAGAAAAGCAGGAGATGAGGTCACCTCCTGAGCAGAAGGGTGGGTGGTGGCGGTGGGAGTTTGAAGGCACTGGAAGAGTTTTAGGGAGCTTGGAACAGCTGACGGAAAACAGGAGGAGGTGACGGTTTAGGACACTCAGAAGAGTGACTAGGGAAACGAGAAAAATCTCTGGAAGCTAGCTGAGCCTGGAGACCACAAATTAGTGATGGGTCTTCTCTTTGTGGCTAAGTGGTTTTAACCAGCTATCCTCAGAAAAAAATTGGGAAGGAGAAGCAGATGGACGGGTTGAGCTAAGGCTGGGGTTTCAAGGGAGGGCAGAGTATTGACTGGCGAGTGGCTAAGTGACAGACTTGGGTCTCAGCAAGATGGGAAGGATGTGACCACCCAAGGCGCTCACAGGCAGAGCTGGAGGACTCTAGGAAAGAGAACAACCGATGGTGGGAAGTGAATGGGGGTGAGCGATTTCATTGTAAGGGTTCAGTGGTGGATCAGTGTTAACAGACCTGAGTGAAGTTAATTAACGAGTCCATTAAAATTATGATCTGGGTGCTGGATGGGGATCAACTTGGGCAGGTAGGTCCCCAGGGGCGTGGAGGAAACTGGGGCAAACAGAAGCCTGTTATCCATGGTACACAAGGCTAAAATAAAAGAAGGGGGCCATTAGGCTGACAGTGGAGCAGAGGGTGATAGGGTCAGAGGGCTGGGGACCCAAGGGGTCTCCTACGTAGCCAGGAGCAATGGTCAGCAAGTGGCACTGGGGCCAAGGATGTCACCTCCTGACCCCCAAGTCTGAGGTGGGTGTGAGAGGGAAGGAGTATCCTCAAGGGACAAGAGATGCCAGGAATGTTCTGGAATGCGTGAAGGATGTCAGGAGGAGTGTCTGTCCTGGAGTTCAGATTCCAGAGGGCACAGAGGAAGAGGATGGGGAGAGAGGGGACACTGAGAAGTGAGCCAAGGGCAGAGGAAGCACAAATGAGAATGGCAATAAGAACCAAGACAAGGTACATGACCCGAGGAGTTGAGCAGGATGGGGGCATGAGGGCAGTACCTGGTCTCCTGTGTTCTGAAAAGTTCCACCCCAGCAGGCCACAGGTAGATGGTGGGCAAGACGGTCAGGGAAGGATGGGGTGCTGCAAAGTGTATCATTCCCCAGCAAGCAAAGGGCCCAAGACTCTAGAGATGGATGCCTCCCTTCCAAGGCTGTGTTAGCTTAGCTCCTTCAAGATGGGATGTGGTGTAGAGGAAGTGTATTAGAGGAAACATCTCTGAGAGATTGCAAGGGAGCCGGGAGAAGCTGGGAAAGCCACCAGATCACAAAGCAGAATTGGCCCCAAGTGAAGGAGAGACGGGGGGAGGGAGGCTGGGAAAAAGCGCCAGCCAAAGTCCCCTCAGAGGAGCTCACCTCCCAGGACTGGGGCTGCCCTGGTGTCCCTAAGAGGGTCACTGGCTGGAGCAGCCCCTGGTAGGCATGGCCTTGACACGAATTCGAGGATGTGTTTCAGGGTGTGGCAGTTGGGACCCTCGGTCACTATGCTCCCTTCAGAGATGTGGAGTTTTGTCCCCATGGCCACACCAAGACACAGTAACATGCATATGTCAAAGGCAACACTTCTCAAATTATGTTCTGCAGAGCCCTTGGCCCATAAATATCTGTTTGAGGATAAAAAAAGAGGATTCCATGATCAAACAACTTTGGGAAACACTGCAGACCCTCTCTTCCTCTTGGAGGATCACAATGCTTATTAGCATATTAAGAGTTCTGAGACGTCCTAGGCGCCTGGGTGGCTCAGTTGGTTAAGCAACTGCCTTCGGCTCAGGTCATGATCCTGGAGTCCCGGGATCGAGTCCCACATCGGGCTCCCTGCTCAGCGAGGAGTCTGCTTCTCCCTCTGACCCTCCCCCTCTCATGCTCTCTGTCTCTCATTTGCTCTCTCAGATAAATAAATAAAATCTTTAAAAAAAAAAAAAAAGAGTTCTGAGAAGTCCTGTAGTAAAGAAACTTGCTTAAATTTTTTAGTTTTGCTCTTTTTCAAACTTACTTGGGCAAAGTCTTCCCCCCCCAACTTTTCTTTTTTACACTGTTTTAGCACACTGCAGAATAAATGGAGCATGCACTGAGAGAGGCTTTTTTAGATACAGTTAACAGTTTTTCTTTCAGTAAGTACATAGAAAATCTGTGTTTCAGGGTTGATTATCATTATGATCACATTTTGAAAGGATCATTCCCCCCTTTGCTGCCTTCCCAGGAAGACCAGCTACTGGGAGGACCAAGCCCTGAGGTTGGGTGTTAGTCATTAGGCAGTCAGTGGGAGAAAATTTGGGGGCAGGACAGACACCCTCAGAATCCTGAGAATTTCAACACATGGGTATTTGTCCTTTTAATCTACTACTCAATGCCAAGCAACTAATCCAGCAGAAAGCAGTCATCTAAAAGCAGTTTTTGCACATTTTCCATTAAGAAGCAGTGTTATTTAAAAATTATGATAGCTGTTCTTTGTGAATATCACTATTATAGATTATTTTTTCTATACTTTCCAATTTTTCTGTAATGTAATATTTTCAAATAAAAATTAGATAGATAGGTTGATTGATAGATAATCTGAGAGCACTGATATTTGAAGAAGCCATTTTAAGGGCTAGATTAAATTACTGTAATTTAAAAATTTTGAATACCCATTTCTCAATATCAATAAATCCCTGAGAAATTCTCCATGTTAGTAATTCATCATCCAGGGATGCTCGCAACCCTTCACTGAACTAAATTCAATGTTGATATCTATCAGTCGGCATCCAGTCAAGAGACAGAAATCACACCAGTAATCTGAACAAAGAACATTTACTATGAAGAATTAAACAAGGGACTAACTACAGGAACAACAGAGGTAGGGAGCTGTCTCTAGTCTAAGGTAGAACACCCAGAATGAACACACTTGGAAGGTGCCTTCCCTCCCAAGGCTGAGCTTCAGACCTTGTTGGAGATGGTAGGACTACAATCCACTGGATTGTGTGTTTTCCAAGCTCCCTGGTATAAGAACTTAGTAACAAGAAGAAAAAAGAGATCGTGAGCATTAATTATGGGGCCTAATCACATGCTGTTCCTATGCACACTTGTCACCAAGCTTCCTCTGACCATCCTACATAAAGTGTGAGCCCCTGAACCATCCTGGCCCTTCCTACCCTCCTTCCTGCTTTGCTTTTCTCCACAGAACATATCTCCTACTACCCTACAACTTACGTACTTACTCTGTTTTTGTCTGTAGAATGGAAGCTCTGTGAAGTTCAGGATGTTTGCCTACGTTGTTCACCCAGAACGGTGCCGGGCACCTGCTAGGAACTCTGTAAATATATGTGAATATCTGAATAGATGAACTGAATTAATGAATGACCTGTGTGTACAGGATAATGAGAGTTAGAGCTTCTTAGTTTCTTGGACTGAAATTGGGGTTGAATTATAGTGCTAAAGAAGAATTCAGACCCTTGAAGGTAAGGTTTGTGAGCCACGTGCCAAAGCCGCAGAATGAGGTAAGGTTTCACAAACAATGAAGACCCTATTATGGTTCCAGATAGTAGAAGGGTAATAAAACTTTCCTCTCGCTTCCACTTCAGACCTCCAGACCATTCCTTCCTATCCATTTAGAAGTTTCTAGAATCCCAAGGCCTTGGAGAGCTAATACACACTATAGTGATTATAGGCAACAAAAGTGTATTATAAACAGCAAACTTGCTGGCAGGATACATCTTAATGGTTCCCACCACTAGAAGAAACGATAGTTACGCGACGGGACGGGGTGTCAGTCAACCTCCCAGTGGTTGAACAAAGAACATAGTAAATGTTCTTCGCTCAGTGGTTGATAAACATATCAAATCAGTACGCTGTATCCCTTAAACTTACACAATGGTATATGTCAATTATCTCTCCGTTAAAAAAAATAAAAAGGGAAGAACCCCATGGCCTGAGGCTGGATACGCAGAATGTTGGGAATCAAGCCAAAATAAAATAATACTGAAAGTGAAGGCCATTAATATCAGGAAGTTAGGGGTGGTCTCGAATTTCCTGTGTTTTTCCTGGGGAACTTCAAATCTCATGTAATTCGGGGGCGCCTGGGTGGCTCAGTTGGTTGAGCGACTGCCTTCGGCTCAGGTCATGATCCTGAAAGTCCTGGGATCGAGTCCCGCATCGGGCTCCCTGCTCGGCAGGGGGTCTGCTTCTCCCTCTGACCCTCCCCCCTCTCATGTGCTCTCTCTCTCATTCTCTCTCTGTCAAATAAATAAATAAAATCTTAAAAAAAAAAAATCTCATGTAATTCTGTGACCTACACGAGGTCCTGCCTACTGCCATTTTCCTCTACTGAGCCATGTAGTGTACGTGTGTATATCCATGGGGCTTTCCGTGTTTCCGAGTTCACTTGACTCTCACTGCTTTGCCCAGCGCGGACCAGTGAGCATCCTGCGTGAGCTTTACTGAGGCACCGTCCCTTACTCACTCAAGGTCCTGGGGGGAGCGGGGTGCGGGGCTGGTGTGGTGGCAAATAGCCCAGCGAGGGAGGTAGAGCCCCCCCACGGGCGGGTCCCAGGGCTGTGCTGCCACCCAGTGGGCAGTGACCCCCACTCACTCCAGGAGCCCGTGCGGGGGGAGGGGGGCAAGACCATGCTGGGAAGCGTGCGCCCCCCAGGTTCCCACCAACACCAAGCCCTCCGTGCGGAGGACGAACGTCATCTTTGAGTTAAATTGAACACTCAACCGCATATTCGTCTGGGCCCTTTTATGTTTGTTTTTGCCTTTCTTTTAATAGTTTGTTTCTATTTCCATCTTCACAGGTCCACGTTCTGAGATGAAAGCTAGCTCAGACACTTCTCTGGCATGCACTAACAGGATGTCCTTTAGCCAACTGTGTGAGTGCTAAACCGCGGTGTAGGGGGGTGGCCCCCAATTAGGTCAGTCACAGGTCCAGAGAGAGGATCCGGAGAAGTTCATATGGACTTCCCAGCTGTTTGGCATTCCTCTTCTCCCTTCATCCTTCTTCCAAGCCACCCCCTGCCCCGTATGTCCTGCCCCTGACCACCCACTGCTTCCTCCCCCCAACTCTGAAATCTGGACTCCTCCAGCTTCCTTTCTTTCCAGCCTCAGACCTCCCCCCTCCCCCATCGCAGTCCCAGCCTGGGAGGTTCCCCCACAGGCTCTGTAGCCCAGACTTGACGCCCTTCCCCCACCCTCCGTGGAATTTCCTGGGATCTTCTGGGAGCACGATCAGCACCTCACACCTTGCTTAACTCCTGGCTTTCCTCACTATGTTTTCCTCAAATCCCACTCACTGGTCCTGAGCATCTCTGCACCAGCCCCCTTCCCAAGTGACACCATTCTGTGGTTTCCTTTGTCCCCAGATCCTCTCTTGGGACGCCACCCCCCTAGTCACAGCACAGTGTCTCTCAACAGTGACAGCGAGAACCAGACCTCATGCTGCTCACTGTGGATCTCCCCGAGCCGTCTAGATGCCCTACGGATGCAGGGAGTGGGCTTCTGCCCTGGGGTCTGCACATAGAGCTCTCACAGGACACTTTCCCCTCCACAGCTGGCTGTCACCTGCTCAGAAGTGCCCTGCTGTCAGCCCACCTCGTATCACTGGGGAGCAGTGGCAACTCAGTTCCCTTATCTGGGGCAGCCAGGAGGACGCCTGTCTGAAGGCCAGGGGGAAATCAAAGGCGGGGTCCAGGGGGAACCGGGAGGAGAAAACAACTTCCTGGTTTCTCTCAGAGGCTTGAGAAACACTGTAGGGGTCCGGAGGAGCTTTCAAGTTGCTTTCTTTGGGTCAGTCCCCGAGACCAAGACCGAGGCCAGCGACTTGTGGTGTAGAGCTCCCCAGGGGTAAACAGTGGCTTATCTTGCCCCTAAAGGTCAGGCCCTGCTGCTCAGAAGAAAGCCAGCCTCTCGGCTGCCCCAGGCCATTCCCACAGCCGCTCGGATGGTGGGTCAGGAGGCCGAGCCCCGTGCCCCTGGAACTCCGTCAAGGGGTAAGTCGTCTATGTATTTAACCAGTGACGCCCACGTTGATGCTTGGGATGGTTTCGCTTTTGCAAACCTTTGTTTCTATCCTTCGAGAGAAGAGCTCGGCCAGCCTGTTGCAGGAAGCTGCTTCACAGGGTGAGCAGACTTTTGGAACACGTAGACATTAGGACCGATGCCCATTTCATGACCCTAAACCGCAGCGCCGGGCTCTCTTTGACGGTATGTTTCCTTAAATATCACCTTCAGACAGGCAAATCGTGTTTCCACCAGGAGAATTTAAGTTCTGTGAAGAAGTGTAATGCTTACTTTTAATTCCCCGGTGGTATTAGTGCATTGCCAAGTATATGAGGGCTTCGTGAGGAGGCCATTTATAATAGCCGCTCTCGGGGCACCTGGGTGGCTCAGTCGTTAAGCGTCTGCCTTCGGCTCAGGTCATGGTCCCAGGGTCCTGGGATCGAGCCCCACATCAGGCTCTCTGCTCCACGGGAGGCCTGCTTCTCCCTCTCCCACTCCCCCCTGCTTGTGTTCCCTCTCTCGCTGTCTCTCTCTGTCAAATAAATAAAATCTTTAAAAAAAAAAATAGCCACTCTCAGCAGGTGGGGATGTGTTGGAGAAATGTTTATTTTCAATCTTCTCAGCTATAGACCTACTCTGGGTAAAATGAAGCACCAGAAAAGGGACGGGATGGCTTCACGGACACTAATCCAATTTTTTTTTCCCCCTCCAGGACCACCCAGCTGTATGAAGGGAAAATAATCTTTCATGTCTCCACAGGGCAGCCTGAAGATGGCCAATTACACGTCAGCCCCGGAGGATGACTATGACGTCCTCATAGAGGATGACCTGAATAGCAATGAAATAGAACCATGCGACCCCTATGACCCCAAGATCCTGGTGGCCCGGGTGGTACCCCAGCTCTCCACCACCGTGTTCCTGACTGGTCTCCTGGGCAGTCTCTTGGTTGTGCTTATCCTGGTGAAACATAAAGGACTCAAGCACATGGAAGATATCTATCTCCTGAACTTGGCGGTTTCGAATTTGTGTTTCTTGCTGGCCCTGCCATTCTGGGCCTATACTGCAACACACGGGGGCGTTCTCGACAACCCCTTCTGTAAAATTCTAGTGGTCCTGTACTCCATAGGCCTATATAGCGAGGCATTTTTCAACGTCCTCCTGACTGTGCATAGGTACCTGGTGTTTTTCCCCGTGAGCCTTCCCTCAACCACCAGGACGACACCTTGGGGCATGATCTCAAGTATTCTGGCGTGGGTCCTAGCCGCTCTGGTCATTTTGCCCGAATCCGTGGTTTATAAAGCTCAGATGGAAAGCCAGACATACAAGTGCTTCTTGAGACTACCTCACTTCCTGCTGGTGGAGGAGACATCCTGGAAGCGTTTTCTGACCTTAAAGATGAACATTTTGGGACTTCTTTTTCCACTGTGCGTTTTTGTCTTTTGCTACGCGCGAATGAGAAAAATACGAAGGTCTGGGGAGAGGAGGTCTGGCCTTTCTAAGCTGGTTTTTGCCATTATGGCTGTTTTCCTTCTGATGTGGGGACCTTACAATGTTGCACTTTTCCTGTCCACTTTCAAAGAATCTTTCTCCCTGCACGACTGCAAGAGCAGCTATAACCTGGACAGGAGCATTCAGATCCTGAGAATTGTCGCAGCCACCCACTGCTGCGTCAACCCCCTCCTCCATGCGTTCCTTGACCCCACATTCAGAAGACACCTTGGCCGTCTTTGCTGTGTGCACGATGGCCGTCCGCTTCAGTCCAGAGAGGAATCTACACGAGATGCCTCCAGGGAAGAACGTGACCATTCCACCAAAGTGTAAACTAGCTTCCGTCAAAGGCGGGACAAATAAACATTGATTTTTATATCACTGCATTGTTTTGCTTTTTTTTTTTTTACACATTTGTATATAAAACAGGATATGGGAAGAGAAGCAGGGAGGCGAACAAGCATTTTCCAAGCACCGAATTTGTCTCAGGCGTTGTGCTAGGCTCTTTGCAAACCTGAGCCCCTTTGTGCCTCAATACTTGACCATGGGTGTGGATGGAATGTGTCTCATTTCGCTAAGGAGGAAACTGAGGCACGGAAATTTGTCTAGGCTCACACAGCTAGAAAGTGGCAGGGCTGGGGCCCAAACATGAGTGCCATTCACTCCAGAGCCTACGCTTTATCCAGCATGCCAAACTTCCAAAAATTGGGCAAGGAAACACACGAAATAAATACGTACCCTTAAAACCAATCAGACCACATTCCAAATTAAAAGCAACCCATTCATATAGAAGTAATTGTTCAGGCATATTTTCTTGCAGGTAATTGAAAGGACTGGCTAGCTGGAAACTAGGGATAAAGAGGTAAAAGTGACTTGCTCTGTGGAATTTGCTAGATCTCCTTGGCTACTTGCTACATGAATAGTCTGCGTGAAATAACTCCAGGCAAGAATATTTTCAAAGGAATTGAGAAAACACTCATTCAGTACAATCTGAAGTGGAATCTGCTAAGATGCATTGGAACTGATGGGGGTTAAAATATGCATTGAGCAGGAAAAGCCTGGGTGGGACAAATTTACGAAATGTGTGGAAGTGGGTCAGTCAATGGTTATTTGTTAGTGGTATTTTGTGGGAAATGCTGGAATTTACCACATGTATTAAACCATTAGCGTTGGGGCGCCTAGGGGGCGCAGTCGGTTAAGCATCCAACTCTTGGTTTCAGCTCAGGTCGTGATCTCAGGGTCGTGAGATAGTCTGCTTGGGACTCCCCTCTCTCTTCTCCTTCTGCCCCTGCCGCTCATGCTTGCTCACTCTCTCTCTCTCTCTCTCAAAGAAATAAATACATCTTTTTTTAAAAAACGTGTTTTCTGAACTTTGCGGTGATTTTCAGACCTCAGTGCAAGGACAGAAGACATTTCCATATTTTAAAATCAGTTTGTGCAACTGGAGAGCTTTCATCTTACCTTCAGTTGGAGGTGCTCTGTGATCTAATGGCATGCCATGCTAGAAGGTACACATCAAGTGAGGAATCTAATAGAATTCTATAAATACCTTCCAAGTGATAAATATGCACATGTAATACCTTACGCTCGCAGCCTGGTGTCAGTGTTTGGCAGCACCTTGTGTGAAAAGACATTTTCAAAGATGAAAGATATAAAATTTCTCCACAGATCAGCTTTAAGGGGTGACCTTTTGCAATCAACTTTAATAAGAGGGAACACCAGTTTTGAACCTCAATTGAACAGAAATCACCCCCCTAACTTCCACTCTTCTCATTAGTAGACCGGTATCACACAAAAGAAATTATACTCCAGTTATGAGTTGGTACGGATACTGCCCATTCTAGCCCAACCCAGAGTTTCTACCTTGCCTTCTCCATTCTGTATTTCTTTTTTTTTTTAACTTTATTTTATTATGTTAGTCACCATACATTACATCATTAGTTTTTTGATGTAGTGTTCCATGATTCATTGTTTGTGTGCAACACCCAGTGCTCCATTCAATATGTGCCCTCTTTGATACCCATCACCAGGCTAGCCCATCCCTCCACCCCCGTCCCCTCTAAAATCCTGTTTGTTTCTCAGAGTCCATAGTCTCTCATGGTTTGTCTCCCCCTCCGATTCCACCCCCCCTTCATTTTTCCATTCCATATTTCTGTCCTCCTCTTTTCTTTCATGGTAACTCTAGGTCCCCAAAAGCTTCAACACATTTACTCATTTTCCCAATCATACATACACACAACGGTGTCCAGCGTTGCTACACCCATAGTGCTTAGAATCGCAGGTAGATGGATATAAGGATGATAAGGAGAGGTACCCAGACCAGTCCTAAAGATGTGGCCTGGAGGAGGGGAGCGAAGCTATCACTGGGCCAGGGAGTGTGACCAGGTTACGAGATTCAGCAGCAGTCTCCCTGGAGAGTATCTGGGCTCAGACATGAGTGATTCCCCCACAGGAATCTTGCACCTGCTCCGTCTTCTGTTTCTGTGGGGCCGGGGCAGCTGTGCAGGTGGGGCCCTGCCTCTGCACCCTAATGAGGGACACACTGGGCCTGAGATCCAGCCTACGTTGCTGAGCAGGCCATGGTCCCAGGCAGGGGGTTGTACGCACCCTGGGAAAGGGGTACGTTCCCTGGCCTTCGCACAGCGGCCCCGTATGGGCTGGCAGGGCTGTCCTCTGACTGCTCTCTGGCCAGGCACCATGAAATGCTCTAGTGTATTTTCCCTGTGCCATTGCCCTCTCCCATGTCCTGTGTGTGGGCACGGGAATCCTTCTGCCACCAGGACAAACTGGAAAGGGGGTTGTCTCCCTCCGGGACCAAGCTCGGGGGCAGAGGGAATTCGAGGAGCAAGGCAGAGACAGCTGCAAGCCCATGCAGGGCTGGTAAGGCCTGGCCAGAGGGGAGAAAGGCCAGAGAAGCAGACACAGGGTGGAAACCATGCGGAATGCAAGGCCATGGGCTTTCACTTGAAGCTTGTGAGGAGCTTGGGTTTGGAGGAAGTGAAAGCAGAACACCAAACTGAGGCCACCCTCCATTCAGTGTGAAAAGAATGGGGGGACCAAGGGTCCTGTGGCAGCCCAGGGCTTGTGCTACATGGGATGTACCCCAAGTGGGAAGAGAAAGGAGCATCTGGGCAGTTATGGGATGGTAACATGCAGATTTCCCACTTCTGGGGCACCTGGGTGGCTCAGTTGGTTAAGTGTCTGCCTTTGGCTCAGGTCATGATCCCAGGGTCCTGGGATTGAGCCCCGCATCAGGCTCCCTGCTCGGCGGGGAGCCTGCTTCTCCCTCTCCTGCTCCCCCTGCATGTGCTCTCTCACTCAGTCAAATAAATAAATAAAATCTTAAAAAAAAAAATCCCCACTTCCGCCAGAATTCATGAGTACGAAGCTCTGAGACTGTTTACCCTGGGTGCAGCATCCCCAAAGATGTATGTCCCCAAAGATACGAGACACACAGAGGAAGGGTGTGGCCCTTGGCTAAGACCAAGTCCACACGTTGGTTCCTTCTCATGACTAGAAGCTTTGACCACCGTCCCATCCAAGCTGAAGCGAAGGAGATGTTGGGCTGTTTCTTCTCTTCCTCCATCTGTCCCTGCCTTACCCCAGATTTTCCATAGTCTCTGACTTTCTGGGGTGACTCTCTTCTTTAAAACTCAAACAGCAGGCTGAGGTACCCATCTCCTGCTCTGCAGAGAGCTCACAGCCCTGTTCAGAATTCCCACGGTTTCCCTGGGCCTCACGTTCTTCTGACCACCTGTCACCCACATCCTTCTGCTCCCTCATTACTGATCTTTACCACCTTTCATTTCCAGAAGCTGCGATCCCCACAGGCAGGCCCTGTCCTGGTGGGTGATGGCCAAGATGGGTCCAATCATCGATAGGTATCAGGTGTCGGTGATAAAGCACCCTGACCAGCAGAGGCAGGAATTGTCTCCGTGATGACATTTTTCTTTAGAACCTGAGTGGCTGTGTTCCTGGGGCCCGTGCGTCCTCTCTGGGCGGTTCTTCCACCATCTCCACACCTTTCCTCGCCTGCGGCCGACTCCAAGTTCCCTGGGGGAACTCACCTGGAGGAGCGAGTCAGCTCGATTGATCTGGTTCCAAACTCTCACTCTCAGGGTAAAGGGCTCACTTTTCTCAACCCCAAGGGCCACCTAATATGACTCCCTAACATAACCTCTGCTTCCAACCTAAAATTCAGACTCAACCTCACCCATTTATTTCACTCTGGCTCAAACACTACAAATGACCTGCTTTGGGCCATGGTGTTCACAGCCCAGCAGGACCGACACTTCGGTTGGAAGGAGCAGGTGGGTGCTCACACCCACAACCACAGCATAGATGGTGATTTGCTTACCTTCTCTACATTTCACGACTGTGAGCCTGATGTATGGATATTCCTGTGCGTTCTGTTGACAATACTAAATTTCAGAAAAGAGAGATGTACCAGAGCCTTAGGGTTGAAGTAAATGAAGGTACTGCCCCAGATCCAGAAGGGAAATAGGGTCCTATTGCCAAGATATTCACTGCTCCTTTCCACTGGGCCTCTCCCTGCAGGACATCATATGCCTGCCTCGTTGATGTCGTGGCCACCCAACTGACTTTGAACAATGAAATGATGGGAATGACAAGGTCGCTGTCCTACAGAAGCTCTAGAAATTAGTGAGGCACCTCCCCCTCTCTTTTAGCCCAGGTCTCAGAACAAAGACAGATACAAGCATTTGTGTGTAAGCCGCTAGGATTCCCATAGAACTTATTAGCATAAGCTGATGGATTCAGTGATGTTCGATTTTCAAATTTAATTTTGGCCAGAAAGGGGATTTCACGGGTGGGGCTTTAATTTCTCCTTTGTGTCTTATTTATACAAGAAGGTTCATACTGTTCAAATGTTATGCTTTGCGGGGCTGGTACCGTAACTAATACGGCAACAGCATTAAATGTTGCTCGCTGAATAACCTTCTCAGGCTAGTGAGGATAGACTGCATATCTGGGCCAATAATTCATAGTAGCAAAAGGTGAGTTTTCATCCTAAGCTTAAAGGACCCTAATCCACGTCCTTTCGTGGCAGAGTTCAGAGCCTGATGCAGGCAGCAGCAAAGCTGCCTACACATCGGTGGTGGCCACCCTTGTCTGGCGTCTGCCTTTGAAGGGGCTGTCTTCACCCGGTTGCCACGGGTTTACCTGTTGCATCCAATGAGCCGATGGAAAAACTGAAACCCGGAAAATGATCCCTTCCCAAGGAAGAGTTAGCAATCTGAGAGAGCTGGTACCTAACCACCAGTGAGCCCCACTTTCTGGAAGAAAGTCTGCATTAGTAGCTGAGACCCCATCATTTGGTTCTCTCATGGGTCAGAAGCAAAACCCTGGAGAAAAAAACCATGGGGGACACACTTAAAGGACAAAGCATGGGCCGTCCACAAGGCAGAGGAAGGAAGACCAGAGAGGAGGACCCTGCCACAGGGTCAGGGAACGAGACCGGGAAACCCTGAGAAGCTTGGCGGTTTGGGAGGGCATGGGCATCGTTTTCCAGAACCACCCAGGAGAGAGAACAGGTTAGAACCCAATCACAGTGAGGTGCAGGGAGAATGAGAGAGTGGCCCAACCAGCCCACTCCCTTGCTGAAGGAAGAGAGGGCAGCCCGCTTGGACCGTGCTCTCCAGAGCTGGGCCGAGGAAAGTGGGGGGAAAACGAGTGAGTGGAGGTTAGCCGGAGGTGGGGTACAATAAGGCCAGTCAGACGGCCAAGGGACAGAAGGTCGTCACCTCTCCCTATGACGCCTGTATTATTTGTACATTCGCTGTACCTGACACAATTTATTTAAAATACCAAATACTCAAAACTCTTTGTGATATCCAGTGTTTTTCACTAATGCCTTGATTCCTACTCCCTATTCCCTGCCCCTGCCCTAGAAACACACACACACACACACACGCAAACATCCATGTGAACAACTAGCCGATGCCCTTGGGGAAACTAGCTGCTGGGCCTGTCCTCTGCTTCCAGAAACTGCGGGACAGAGGAGGCCCTGGACCTGGAAAACGCAGAACGAAAGGCCAACTGCGCCGGCACTTGATCAGACATGATTTCAGCATAAAATCTAGAAAAGATGAATGACGCTTTACAAGGAATGAAAATCAATGGTCTTTCTCATTTTATTTATTGCGAGGATGACAGCAGGGAGCTGGGAAAGCAGATGATTGGCCAGGAAGGGAGAAGGCTCAGCACCTCCGGGAAGGGCCGAGAGTAGCGAGGGGCTGAGGCGCCTCAGGAAGGGAGGCCAGGCCGTCTTCTGGCAGGTTTTATCTACTCAGGAAGGCGCAGGCTTCCAGAAGCGCTGTGGGACATAACCAAAGCAAGAGATTCAGAAACTGATCTTTTTTTAAACCAAGAGCTCAATCAAGGACTGAAGTACTGAAACACAGACCTTCCCCTGTCTTCTCCCACCAACCCTCGGCCCGTGCTTGCTCACCTTGCCACCGCCCCCCCCCCCCGACCCCCAGAGCCTCCTCCTAATGGCAGCCACCACGGCTCTTCCTGCCTTGGCCTGAGTGACACAGGACCCACCCCCATTTGCCTCTAACTGAATCAACTGTCACACTCAAGTCACAAGACACGGATGGTCCTCAGATGGGAGCAATCAAGTCGCCCGTCTTCAGGCAAATCTGTCTGAGGTGGTGTTCACCTACTCGTGCACTCAGGCATTCACAAATACTCGCTGAGGCCCGCTTTGTGTGAGGCACTGTGCTAAGTGTGGGGTCCAGCAGGGACACACGGGCCCTGACGTCACAAGAATAGCCCTGCAGCCTCTTTGTCAGAGCAGAGTCCTCGGACCACCTGATCACAATTCCCCGAGATGCTGGTTGGTAAAGAGCGGTGACAGTATTGACATTTGGGGCCGGGGAACTCTTTGTTGGCCAGGCTGTTCTCTGCTTTGTTCAGCAGCATCCGTGGCTTCTGCCCACAGACACCAGCTGCACCCCCTAAATTGTAAGAATCAAAAATACCTCCAAGCATCGTCCAATGTCCCCTGGTTCGGGGGGGCGGGGGGAACTGCACCTAGCTGAGAAGGACTGATACAGAGCTTCTTGGCCCCACCCCATCCCTGGGCCCCCACCGCCCCGAAGCCTCCAGTGTCTGATGAGGTACCAGAAACAGGGCTCTGGGTGACCCCATGTGCAGGGGAGGCGGTGCACATTGCAATTTTAGAATCACCGCCTGGAGCCTTACGACACTCTGCAATATCTTATGTTTTTAAGGGAGCAAATTATTTGTCAATACATTTTCCTGGCTAAGATACTTTCTGAGAATTTGTATTCTCCACGGCTGATATTTATGGTAACTGTCAAGAGACCAGAATTTGTGTGTGTGTGTATATATATATATATTTATATATATACACACACACATGTATGTGTATGTACATGTGTATAAGCTCATGTACATATACCTACATACATATACACACACACTTCATTCTACTGGATAAAATGAATCACGGTTTCTAAAACCCACGACAGGCACTATCAGCATTATAAAAGTTTAGCATATGACCACTGCCTTATTTTTCTCTGTCTTTCATCTCATCCGGGACGCTGTAACTTCCTGAGGCAGCGGGATAGGACATCGCCCTTTTTTATTCCCTTCTTCATTCCTAGAATGCCTCCTGGCCCTGCAACCTCGCCACCCTTCACGCATGCTGGCTTCTCCGGGGCATTGCACTTACGGGAGCTTGAGCACTGTTGTAGGTTAGCAACGGCCGTGACGTATGCTGATCCCAAATATTCTTCGTACGTGTTTTTGCCCTGGAGTTTGGCCAGGCACTCCGTGTTGTCATTGAACAGAAGGTTTTTGGTTTTAGACATGAACAAGCAAAACTCTCTTGGGCATTTAGCTCCGTTTCTTCCAAACTGATCCTGTAGTAACGGGGCAGACGGTAAGGGAGCGGCCGAGGGAAACAGGAGAACGTATGGATTGGGAGGGGCCAAGGACATCTCTTCCATCCAGGCTCAGCCCCGGGAAGCCCAGGGAATGAAAGGAGCTGAGTTCTAGAGGTTTTCCACCGCTTGGCTGAGCCTTCCCCTGCCCCACGTCCTCCTGCGGCCCGTGACCTGGGTGCGGCAGATCCACCGGGTGGTGCCTGGGCCCCTCACTACTCCTGATCTCACCTCCCACCATCTTTCCCTCCTTGTCCATCTGTGGCCTCTTCCCGTAGAACCTCTGGGTGGCTAGATGACAGCTGAGGATTTCTGAGCTCTCCCCCAAAAGCTGATCACCTACAGCACTCTGAGAGGCCAGCTCCAGCATACAGACAGTCTGCACTGGAAATCGTCTCTGCCATTGATCAGGTCATTGCCTTGGGCGGGTGGGTCACTTAGCCTCCTGTGCAGGGCGAGAGCAACACAGCTCCGTGATGGACCCCCTCTTGCCAGCACCAGTGAGCGTGCCACAGTGAGGTTACTGTGCCCATTATTGCCATTCTAGGGCCTTTAAAGCAACCTGGAGGGCGCCTGGGTGGCTCAGTTGGTTAAGCGATTGCCTTCGGCTCAGGTTATGATCCTGGAGTCCGGGGATCGAGTCCCACGTCGGGCTCCCTGCTCATCAGGGAGTCTGCCTCTTTCTCTGACCCTCCCCCCTCTCATGCTCTCTCTCTCTATCTCATTCTCTCTCTCAAATAAATAAATAAAATCTTTAAAAAAAAATAAAATAAAAATAAAGCAACCTGGACACAAGGTGTTCTAATACAAAACTAGAAGCTCTAAAAGAGAATCACAGACTTTAAGGAAATTGCATGGTTCCCTTCAAACCACTTCCCACAGATAGCCTTCAATCTATAGAAGTTCCGGGTGTGTTGTGTCTAGAGACACATGTGGACGCCTCTGTGGTTCTCATCACTGAGACTCTGGGTGGTTCCTCCGCATGAAGCGAACACGGTCAGCACCAGCGTCCGGCAGCGGGACAGGAGAGGGGGGCTCTGGACGGGCTGCTACCCCTTTGCCACTGTGACCGCCCCGCCTCGCAGCAGCCCGAGCACGTAGGAGAAGGCAGGAGGCCCTGGTCATCCACACCTGTTGGTTGAGCAGCACCTGCTTCAAGTGTGTTGCCTTATCTTCCCGAGATACCACAGCGTGGTTCGGAGCCTTGGCCAGGTGGCATCTCGCAGCCTCTGTCACGGGCTTCCGGGTGCCATCGAGGCACAGCAGTTCAAAGTCCTCCAGCTTCAAATCCTTAGCCCAGGCCTCAGGGTTCCTGCCTGGGGAGAGAAAGAAAGGCGGCATCAGCCACGGGGCTGCCCCGCTCAGTCAGGTGGGTCGGACGAGTCCACTGGCCTCTCCTGAAATGCACACATGCGGGTCGCGGGGACGCGAGGGAGAGGGAAGGAAGTTTTGTCCACACAGGCTATACAAACTTCAAACACAGCAAACATCGGTGCCGCTTCCATACAAGCAGACAGGATCCAGGAACATAAGGGAGCGAAGCCCTGACACATTCTACAACGTGGATGAGCCCTGAAAACGGGATGCTCAGTGAAAGAAGCCAGGCACAAAAGGCCACGTGATCCCATTTCTGTGAGACGTCCAGAATAGGCAAATCTACAGAGACAAGAGAGGAGACTGGGGGTTGGCAGCTCTGGAGGCGTGGGGAAAGGTGCCAGGGTACTTTATGGGGCGTTCTAGAGTGTTCTAGAATTGGACTGGGCTGGTGGGTGTGGTGCTCCGTGAATGTGTTAGAGACCACTGAATCCCGCACTTGGAATGGGCAGATTTTTATAGCACGAATTATATCTCAAGAGAGCTATTAATTTTTTAAAAAGAATGCCCTCCACCTGTGCCCTATTTTCCAGTGAGTTCCAGAAAAAGAATATCTGGTTTATGTTCAAGAAGAAAGTGTTTTGTCCTTCCCTTCATATTCAAATGCTCTTAGTGTATAACCAGACAAAGGACAGGAACTTCTACAAGTTTATCGAATATGTTCCATTAATTAAAAAAGATAGTTGTGAAATCGTGAAGAAACTTACACTGAAATCTGACATTGCTCTAGGGGATCGAGAGTACACTTATCGTGATGAGCACTGAGTCATGTACAGAAGTGTTGAATCACTATACTGTATACCTGAAACAACTATCACACTGTATGTTAATTATACTTCAATAAAAAAAAACTGACATCAATCAATCCCCAGAGATCACTTAGATTAATGGTTCATAAATTCAAAATGGAATTGTATGCATGTCTGTGTGTGTGCAAACACAGGTTCAATGTTCAGGCCCCTGCTTCGCTCCTTCTGCCCCCTCTTCCCTCAAAAACAAAACAAAACAGAAACAAAAACACTTTATCCATTCTCTTGGCTTTGTCTATTTGATATTGAGATCACTCCAACAAATTTTTATGTCTGTCCTCAGTCCCTCTCCCAAGAGACATGGGGAGGCTCAGAAGAAGGGAGGAGGGGCTGTGACTGCCGATATTTGAAGGACAGAGGCAGAAGGTCGAGGAGGTTCTTTCTCAGAGGCTGAAGTGGCTAGTCATCTGCTGGGGACCGTGGGGGCCGAGTGGGGGTTCAGGAGAAGGCTGCAGTTTGGAAGGTGGCCAGATGGCTTGGGGGGCTGAAGATGGCAATTATTATTCATCTTCCATTATCTGTACCTGCCTGTGACTTTGTCCCCAAAGACTCCCAAGGAGTTTCCAAACGTAGGGCTCACACAGGTCCGAATGAAGGCCCTTACTTCCTTTTTTAAAACTATGGGACAGGGAGATGGTGTGCTTCTGAGGTTGACTAGACAAAGCCAGGGAGACATTTGCTATTGAGGATGGCTGGTGTGTGTGTGTGTGTGTGAGAGAGAGAGACAGAGAGAGGGAATTTGGTTTCAAAATCAATGTGACACTCACAGACATACCATGTGGCATAACGAGGTAAAGACTTTTGGAAGTTATTTGATCCAAACCCTAGAACAGGTTATAACAGCTTCCCAATTGCAAACCTGAATACTGAGACGCGAAAGGGAAACACTTCGCTTACCATTCGTGTTCTGCAAGACAGTGACGTCTTTCACAAACGCAACGTCTCCAGCCCTCTCCGCCAGACACCTAAAATGTTCCAGAAAATAAACACATTGCCACAAAAGAGAAACTATTAGGGTTTTCATAGGTATTTGTAATATAGATTCCAAAAACTGAAACACAGGAAGAAACATGGAACAGATAAAGATAAATATTTCCAGGAACTTATGGTTTAAAATGGTAGCTTGAACACATGCATTTGTGAACCTTCCCTGCTTCTAGAATCCCAATAAAATGACGTTAGTGAGATTGCTGGGGTTTTTTACATTAGCAAGTTTTTTTAAGCCAGAAACCGTGAGCAAGAGGAGGGCAGGAGGGGAAGAGAGAAGGTAATACTGACAACGTTTGGAAGGCGGAGAGCAAATCAATGAGCTGTAATTGACCCAACAGAGCAGAAACAGCTTGTAATGTAAGCTGAAAGTGAGGGAAGCCCAGAAGAACTGAGGTGTGCTACAGAACTCCAGAAAAGCTCATCAGCTAGAAGCACCAAGCACCATGAAAGTGACTGAGACAGGAGGACCGGATAGAGTGTATATAGACACGGCTTATGTGCCCTCCTATTCCATACGGATGGGAGGTGGCTCCCCACCTCCCCCAAGCAGAGCACTGAAGGTTTGTTCGTGAGAGATTGAACCTGAACAACATTAAAGACAGAGAGCCAAGCACAGTGGAGAGCAGAGGCCCAAGACTGACATCGGAGAGTGGTTTGAGTATCTATATTCTGGTAGGTTAAATCATAACCTCTTTCCCCCACTCAGCCTCCCACAAAGCGTACGAGATGATTCTTTCTCTGGAAAAGCTGATCAATCCAAGAAAAATTCCTATAGATTCTGACATGGGGAAACTCCACGGTGAAATGACACAAACCAGTTGCCCCAAAGGCGAGACCCATAACCAAGCCAAGACGTGGCACCCGATGCAAAACTCACAGCACTGGTGTTTCATTCTTAAATATGGACAAATGGTCAGAAACCACTGAGGAAATACTGGAAAAAATGTAGACTGAAAAAATGTAGCTAAGGGGCGCCTGGGTGGCTCAGTTGTTATGCGTCTGCCTTTGGCTCAGGTCATGATCCCAGGGTCCTGGGATCGAGCCCCGCATCGGGCTCCCTGCTCAGCGGGAAGCCTGCTTCTCCCTCTCCCACTCCCCCTGCTTGTGTTCCCTCTCCCACTATCTCTCTCTGTCAAATAAATAAATAAAATCTTTAAAAAAAAATGTTTAAACAAATGTAGCTAATTATACTCAGAAAATACAGAGACAATACAGGAGAGAGAATAAAACTTTTTTTTTTTACTATAATGAATATCATTAAAGAGATGAAAGAAAGTGTAGCATTCATAAAACAAGAACAAGAAGCTCTAAAAAAGGAGCAGTCAGAACACAAACTGTTCTTAGAAAATAAAAAATCATCTTAAAAATTCTCAAAAATGATATATTGATTAAAAGGTTAAGCTGAAGAAGTATCCCAGAAACCGGAAGATAAAGAAAAGCAAATTATAAAAAATAAATAAGAAGAAAATGAAATGATAACCCAGGAGTCAATAATTTAAGAATTAAGGTTTAAAGAGAAATCAGAGAAAACAGAGTAGAAATTATCAAAGAAATAATGAATTAAAATTTCCCAGAATGGAACAACTTGGGCTTCCAGATGAACAGGCCCACCAAGTGCCCAATCCAAAGGATTAAAAGGGACTCACATAAAGAAATATCAGTGTGAAGTTCAGAACATTGGAGATTTTTTTTTAAATCATTTTTTTAAAAACTCAGAAACTTCTTAAGAAACTTGTTTTTTAAGCATTTTACTTTTGATAAAACTCCAAATGAATTTTTCCTAAAAAGTATTTTTCATTCATTGTTAAATCTCTGTAAATTTAGAGAGAAATACATATTTAAGAGAGAAGTTTAGGTGTCTGATTTCTTTACTCTTCACAAAATATTCTTTGTGTCAACCTGTGCATCTAAGATACTTCCTAACCCTCCTAAAGCTCATTCTCTCAGAACAAGGAAATTACAAATAAATTGAAAACTCAAAAATCAATTTTTTTTCAAAAAGGAAGAGTCATATACAAAGAATCAGGAATCCAAAATAGTATCAGATTTCTCAACAAAAATTCTAGATTTAGAAGACAATGGATTGATGCTTTAAAATTTTTGAATTTGCTGTAGTTTCTGTCTTTTTGTTACATTCTAGATAACTTTTTCACATATCTTCCTTAATTCTCTTTTCAGCTATGCCTAAGCTGTTAAACTGGTCAACTGTGTAGCTAATTTCAATTGCTATATTTTGTCCTTTCCAGAAGTTCAATTTATTCTTTTATAAAAAAAAAAAAATACTACCTTGTTTTTTCTGATGGATGTTGCTTCTAGTAACTTTCCCCCTGTGTTTTTAGTTAATATAATTATAGTTACTTTTGACTGTGTACTGCTCATTGTTATCGAGACAGGATCTTTGAGCAATCGTTGAAGCCTAACCTGAAGGTGCTGTCTTTCAGGCAGGTTTCTAGAGGGGACCACTTTTAAAAATATTTATGAGTTGAGAATTTCTGGACCATTCTAGGGGATATAAGTTTGAGCTGCAAATCCATGCAGGAGAGGGCTCATGCTTTCTGTTTCTCAGGGATGGTGTGCATTCTCCTCCCTGTTTTCTTCAGCACCCAGCAACTCGATGCCCTCAGGAGTAGGTGTGGAAATTACTTCTGATTCACTCCTACCTTAAAGGTGTATGTAACCTCTGTGTTCAAGTTTGTCACGACAGGTAAATGTCCTCAGGACAAAGTGAACACTTAGCTCTCTGAATTCGTATTCTCCCTTAATAATCTTACTACTTTGTCATTTATTCGATATTCTTAAGAATGTGTGTGTACACTCGCACGCACGCGCATGTGGACTAATCCAATGTTTTGGCTTGGTTTTAGTGAGACAATTGTTCAAAATAGCTAATGCTGTCATTTCCCAGATAGGGAAAATCCTGTCAAAATCCCTAGGGAGAATGTTTTTCAACCGACAGTTACCCACCCAAACTATAAATCATTTCAAAGGTAGTACAAAGATGTTTTCAGACATGTAATACTCAAAGAACAGCAATGCCAACTCAGCGTTTCTCAAAAAGATGTGTTGTGTGCCAACAAAACCAAGAAAGCAGACGATATGGAATCCAGGAAACAGGCAACTGAACAAGAAGTACGTCGAAGGGAAATCCCAGAATGACCGTCAAAGGGAATCCCGGGACCACAGGGGGGCCTGGGGTCTAGAGGGGGTCTAGAGAACACCAGTTTGGACTGGGCCGGGGCAAGATTCCCAAGCATCTGAAGAACCTGAGCCAGTATTCACTCTGGGCATGTACTGTTAGTAGGTTTACACCACTGGCTATGGGTTTTGAGATGAAGTAGTGATTTTTTTTTTAAGCACAGAGAAGTAAGCAAAATAAATAAATAAATAAGACACCTATTAACTCTAGAGTAAACAAAAACTTTGTACCATAAGGGAAGTACAACCTTATTACACCACGTATTTAATATGAGAATATTTACATATTCATAATAACGTAAGCACTGAACGTGACATAAATCTGTCGGGTGCTGAAAGCAGGTGAAATCTGTGTTTGTGTGACACAGAGCAGCAGGAGAGGCTAGAACTTCTTCTTCCATAATGGAAAGTCAACGGAAAATAGCTGAAAATTGAAAATTAAGAACCAGCAATATAAGGATGTTAGTTAGAAATATAGAGGTGAAAGGACTTCTGGGTCCAGCTTTCAGTTTACATAAAAGGCAAAGCATTTCCTTCTTGTATAAAGAGGAATACTAAAGTGTAGGTGTTTTCAATGAAATAATACCTTCCCACGAGTTTAAAAGAAAAAAAAACACATAGTTCCTCTGGGTTTTTCTCAGATATGTGTCTACCCAATATTTCTGAGCAGAATCACATTACAACTTTTCCATTTGCAAATCCTTAGTCTTTTAAAGATACTCTTGTACATTCACAAAATATTTTCGTGAGCCACTCACACTATAGTAAAAGTTACATCTACATCATCCCATCATCGGAGTGAAGGCTACTGAATTTATATATTAAAAAGTTCAAAGACTCCAGTTGGCCACGGTCATTGTCAGATCTATGACACCATCTGGTGGTGCAATATCCTTTTTTTTTTTTTTTAGTAGGCTCCACACCCAGTGCAGAGCTCGATGCAGGGCTTGAACTCACAACCCTGAGATCAAGACCTGAGCTGAAATCAAGAGTCAGACGCTTAACCGACTGAGCCATCCAGGTGCCCCAAGTGCAATATATTCTTGATGAATAGAGAAAAAGAGGCTGGGGAGGACCCCTGAGAAGTGAACAACCGACATCTGTATGAACGGGGTTGTAATTTTGAATTATGGATAGTTACTGTGGATCACTAAGTGGTTATAACTGGTGAATTCTGAAAACTTATTTTTTGGTTTACCTTTCACTTTACCAGTGGAGAATAACATTGCCCTACTGCTTTGTCTTTGCCATTTCTAAGGCTGAAATCAAAGAGAAAAGTAAAGAGTGAGACGTAATGACAACCCCGATCGGGGGCGGGGGGGGGCGGCGGTTGGCGGCTACAGGAAAGAGAAGTCTTGCCCATAAAATTGAATTGTAGAAAGGACGTAAGAGACCACCAAACACGACCCATTTGATTTTGAGGAGGAGGACACTGAGGCCCACTGAGGCTAACTTTGGCTCCAAGCCCTGGGGAATAGCCCAGCAGAGCTGAGGTCATGCAGTCCCGTGGGAGAAGCCCTGTGGCAGCCTCCGGGGAGGAATGGAGGAACCCTCAGGGGTTCAGCCTCTTAGTGGACCTCCAGGCTGCCCCCTGGCTCTGATGTGACAGGTCGTATCTGTCTCCTTAGAAATGCACTGCCAAGATTCTGGAGGATGAGGGACGAAGGACAGGGCCCTACCCTGGGCAGGCTCGGCCACAGAACTCACCTGAAAGCCCCAGTGTAGCCAAAGTATCTCTCACTGTTGTTGGGCACGCACTTGTTCTCACCCTTCTTGTCGCCAATGCACAGTGCACAGAGATTGGACTTCGGGTCAGACCCAGGGGCACAGCTCTGGCTAAAGAATTCATCTGCAGAGAAGGAACATGGGAGTCAGCGCTTCCTACCTGAGTCGAGACAAGAGGCCTCTCTACCCAGCAGACCATGCAACCTGGGTTGGGTTCATTCTGTGGCCCGGGATGGACAGCATACTCTCGCTGTCACACACAGCCACGCGCTACCACCCACCGCGGGCCCAGCAGAAATCAGAAGAGCTCACACCGGAGGCACTGACAGGAAGTCTGCCCAGGGACTGACCAGAGGGTCCCACTGTGACAGCCTCGGGCTGGAAACTCAACCGATGAACTTGGCGGCAACTCGTGGCAGAACCTGCAGGCCGCCCTCCAGGATCTGATGTCCACTTTCTCCAGAAATAGAAACCCTGCTTTTTACCTCGGTGCCTGGTCCCTTAGAATAAAGACCGGCCTGACCAGATGCCCTGTGGCTAGTACAGAACTCACCAGTGAGCTCCTTAGAAACACCCTTTGAGGGCGCCTGGGTGGCTCAGTTGGTTAAGTGACTGCCTTCGGGTCAGGTCATGATCCTGGAGTCCGGGGATCGAGTCCCGCATCGGGCTCCCTGCTCGGCAGGGAGTCTGCTTCTCCCTCTGACCCTCCCCCCTCTCATGTGCTCTCTCTCTCAAATAAATAAATAAAATCTTTAAAAAAAAAAAAAAAGAAACACCCTTCGAAGACAGTTGGCACAGGCCCTTCTCCCCTTCTCCTTCCTTCTGCACACGGCATGCAGAAGCGGGCACTCAGCCTCCAGTTGTGACAATGGGCCATGAAGCAACCTTGAGCATGGCAGCCATGCAGGTCGCAGCCAGATGTCTGAAACCCGCGTCTCTGACACCATGTTGTTGTCACAGTAGCTCTGGACAATCTAACCTCTGGGTTTCACTTACATGGGGAAGAAACCTCTGCTTGGTTAAAGTCTCTGCTACTTGGAGTTTTCTCTCCTGGCCACTGAACTTAATCTGAACTAACTCACCGTGTGATTTGACCCACGTTCAGGAGTTAACGTGGACTTATATTGGACTTATATGGGTGAAGGAGAGAGGACACGGTGGGGACAAGAAAGTCCTGTCTCGATGAGCAGCTGGCACCCATTACCAGATTCGTGCGGCGCCAGCCCCTGGAAGAGCCACACCGCGTGTCAACCTCCGGAGAGGCCCAGGGAGCACCAGCTAAGGTCCCCCCAGCTCGGAGGCAGCCACGGGGCTTGGAAAGGGCGACAAAGGTGAGTGCAGAGCCCCACGGAAGTCTGTCCGAGCCAGGCTCCCAAATCCACTCAAAATGCAGCAGCACCCCCCTCACGGAGATGCCTGCACGAGAGGCGAGCCCCACACTTCCACATCAGCAGGCCCGCACAGGTGGGGCACGGCTTACACATGGGGTGGGAGCATGGCACATGGCAGGGAGAGAAGGCCCCAGAAGCAGGCGGAGCCAGAACCCTTGAGCTCTTATTTGGTTTCCTGGCAGTGTGGAGGAAGAAGTCTCTCTCCTGAGGCAGGCAGGTGCCTTTCCCCAAATTAGGAAGCCAGTGCCTACGAGAAATTTGGATCCAGCACTCCAAGAGATAATAATAAAAAAAAAGTAACATCTGTACTTCTCAGAACCTGCGTCTATTCTTAGGGTGCAGAGAAGCAGATTGATCCTGCAGTTTTTTTATCTTGGGGGGGTGGCTGGGGCAGGGGAAGTGTGGGGTAGAGATCCACTCAATGCTGCTCTGTCTGCAGGGGGCAGCCACACGGACAAAGTGCTCACCCCAAAAGAGGCCTGCAGGCCACAGTCGGCCTGCCCCTCCCCGCCCCCACCCTTCCCTGAGGTCCCACAGCTCAGCGCCCCCACCCACCCACGACGCCCTCAGGACGCCTTACCGAACTTGCAGGAGCCTGTCTGTTCGAAGAGCAGGCCCATGGGGATGTTCCAGCCTGCAGTCCTGCCCACGGCTGTGTGGCAGGACTTCCTGTGTCTCAGAGAGTTCCAGGTGAGACCGGCATCTGATTTCCTGACAACGGCCACAGCAAGGTACCCTTGAACCATAGAAGAGAGGAGAGGGGGCTGGCATCGACTTGAGCGTAGCTGTCTGCAGCCTGAGCCAAAGCAAGTCGAGGAGCGCCCCCAGGTGGTGATGCTCCCGGATACCTAGCCATCGTCAGAAGCTTAAGCAGCTGCTCTATGTGAAGGTGAGACTGATCTAGGCTATGAAATGAAGAAGTAAGACAAGCTGAGCCTTTAAGTGATTGCCGGGAACCATCCCTGACCAGCCACACATCATCCCTGAGTTATACACCGACAATTCGCCGTGATATGGGAGCCGCTGGGCGAGTACAGAGCTCTTCTGAATCGGGGACAAGCATGGGCTCTGGCGGGAGGGCGGGGGTGATGCTCAGAGCACGGGATGTAGCACAAGAGACCTGGTTCAACTCTGAAAGTTCTCTGCCAAGTGTGAAGGTCAGTAGAAGATTCATTACAATTACTCATCTGTGAATTCTCTGCATTTCCAAAAGAACTTAAGGCTTCTCCCGCTGCATCTCTGTGAGTTTTTTTAGAGTTCCTGCCACCTCCTCGGGCAACGAGGATGACTTGCCCTCGACCCTAAAATGAGCAGGTTCCAACTCACCTTCCACCGGTCTATCCACACAACCTGCTTTATTAGGGTTCTGTGATTCTGAAAGGACAAAAACAAGCAAAATGTCATTAAGCACTGAGCTTTGTTGAGAAGTTGCAAACTTTTAAACCTCAGCGATGCAGGATCAAATCCGAAGAGACTGTGCAGTGGTCCAGGGACCAGAAAGGCATCTGTGTGTTCACAGATGCTCACAGCAGCTCGTTCACAGCGGCCGCTGGCTGGACACCACTCAAATGCCTCTCCACCATAGGACGGACAAATAACTGTGGTCGAGTCACACCACAGAATACCGTACAGCCACAGATTCAATATTCTTTGGATGAATAGCACAAACATTAACACCGTAACACAATGGAGAGACGTACAAAGCACACGCCTCGCATGTAAGGTTTAAAAACAGGCAGAACTCTTCTGTGCCATCTGAGGTCAGGGGTCATTACCCTGGCTGGAGTAAGACGGCTGGTGGCAGGAGGGCACCCGGGGCCACGTGGAACTTGCTGTGTCTCAATCTGGGCACTCACACAAGGGGCTGTATCAGTTCGTGAAATATCACTGTTTTTCTGTATGTGTATTATACTTTATTAAAATCTTTTTTAAAAAGATTTTATTTATTTATTTGAGAGGGAGAGAGCAGGAGTGGGGGGCTGGGCAGAGGGAGAAGGAGAAGCAGACTCCCTGCTGAGCAGGGAGCCCGATGCGGGGCTCGATCTCAGGACTCTGGGATCATGACCTGAGCCAAAGGCAGACGCTTAACCGACTCAGCCACCCAGGTGCCCCTAACGCCTTTTTTTTAAATGAAGAGGAGGAATCTCTTCAATCTATGCTCTGTTGCTCCTCAACACAGCAAGCTGTGTGGGTAAAAGCCCCTTTCCTTTATTCTTTCCCCCGATTCTCCTGTTTGACTGCATCCATCCATCCATCCATCTCCCACGGCCCAGCGGAACAGACCAGAGAGGACACTCCCCTGACTCACTTTGGCTCTCTGCCAGGACGGGCACCAAACCGCACTTGCCCGCAACATAGATAAGGCCTCCATCCAGGCTCAGGGCATCAGCTTTTCCTTTCTGTAAAACCAAAGCAAATCGTCAGCACCACGCAGTGAGGCTGTCTCCTGTCCCGCCTGTCTTTACGGTTTTTAAGAGCATGGCTTCATGTCAGAGAATGTCAGGTGTTCCCATAAAGCAGCAGAAAGAGACCAGGTTTGTTTGAATGGAACATCCAAGGAAAGACTACATGCACTATGGATTCTCTACCAGCCTCACACGCCTTTCATGCTGTCACTTCCAATGCAGAGACCACGCACAGGCAACACTGACCCTCTGTCCTCCAAGCACTCTTGGGACGCCCTCCTGGACCAGCCTCTCTCACTGAGGAGAGGCATGGGCTGCATCCCGTGGGCACCACACTCAAAGTGCTACACAGAAGTTGTTCAACATGGGGCACCTGGGTGGCTCAGTCTGTTAAGCGTCTGCCTTCGGCTCAGGTCATGATCCCAGGGTCCTGGGATCGAGCCCCGCATTGGGCTCCCTGCTCAGCAGGGAGTCTGCTTCTCCCTCTCCCTCTGCCCCTCCCCCTGCTTGTGCGCTCTCTCTCAAATAAATAAAATCTTTAAAAATTAAAAAAAAAGTAGTTCAACACATGAGCAGGAATGACTGATCCACCTCGCCCTGGGAATGAACGAGCCTGCTCCCCAACATCAGAACATAGATTCATCAAGACTGCAAACTCCCTCTTCGGGCCAGTAATAATTCTTTTGACAACTCTACTAAAAATATCTGGAGACGTGGCTGAAGATTTCTATTGAGGGATGCAGCACCACGGGGTTAGAGGTAATAACGAAACAAGGGGACAAAGCAGAATAGGATCACGACTAAACCGAGCCACAGACACAGGAAAGATACCCTAACCTCATTTTTAAGTGTTTTCAGAGAATACATCTTCACGTGGGAAAATGGCCACGACGTACCGTCAAGTGACAAGGACTCAAAGCCTGCGGAGCTGGTGCCGTCCAGGATGGTTGCGGGCATGTGCACTCACGCACCAAGAAATCCGGGGCTGGGGAACGATCACCCCCCGAACGGCGGTGTAGCTCTGCTAGTTGTGTTCCACCTGCTACCTGTCGATGCCTCCCCGGCCCCCTGCAGTAAGCGCGCCCCTACCTGGACCAGCGCGATGCAGTCCTCGCCGCTGGGCGCCGACTCGCAGCTCACGTTCCCCCTGCTCGCGCGCCTCCACTGCTCGCACTTGCTCAGCTCGTCCGTGCCCACCGCGCACCAGGCCACCCGCGCGCGCCGCTCCGCCGCGTCCGAAGCCTCTGCGCACAGGGACGCGGCCGTCGTGGGGCCCAGAGCCCGGCGGGGACACCCCGGCGCCCGCCCGCCGCCCGCCGGCCCAGGGAAGCAAGCGCCCGGGCACCTGCCGCCCTCCCCCTCCACCCTCAGACGCGCAACCCCTTCTCCAGGCGCGCGCAACCCCGGCTTCTCATTCCCCTTCCTTTGGAGACTTCCCTGGCTTCTAATCCACCCTTCGAGCCTTAGTGCAATGACTTGCCTAATATCTCGGTCCCACGGGATAAAAGCTCCAGGACACAGAGACAGTGGCAGTCCCAGGAGCTGGCCTAGGGGGCGTGGAGCCCAGCCCTGAACTCCCCTAGGGCAGTCACCACCGTTAACTACAGTGAGGTGTCCTGGAAACACGCCCCCCCCCCCCCCCGCCTCCACCTCCCCGCTGCAGCCAGGAGAGGAGGAGCCACGGCGGAGCCGGCCCACTGTGGTAACCGCCAGGTGCAGGGCCCCAGGCCAGACGTGGTGTCCACCAGGCCTCGGGGTTCATCCCTGGAGGCACCCTGGCTCTCTTGGTTCCTGTGCACATATCTTACTACATAGGAGGCACGTTGATTGTTCTGCCAGGGCTGGGGAGCCTGATGTAGACAAGGACATAGAACAGCATTGGGCGCCTGTCACAGGAGTTTGGACATATTAAAATGCCCTGGCTTGGTTGATGGAACACTGGTATCTGCCTCCAGTGGAGAAGTTTAAGGGAAAATGATTGTTTAAAATAGGAAATAACAGGACATAAGAGGCATGCCCCGAAGGGAACCTTGACGATAGTATCAGAGCACTCCAGAGCAGGGTCCTTCCTGGAAGGCCTCCCCCGTGGCTGCCCCTGCACCAGCCTGCCCCCAGGGCCTGCCCGGGCCTCACTCACTTTCCTTCAGGCCCTGGAGGGCATTGATGTAGTTGAAGCCAAGGTACAGCTCAGAATCTATATTTGAGGGGATCCTCGAAAACCCAAGGGCGGAGTCTTTGAACAGCAGGTCCTTCTCCCCTTCAGGGGAGCCGAAGAGCTGGAATGAAGATGACTTGTCTTTTCCAAACTTTTCCTAATTCGGGAAAAATCAGAATTACAGTCTCCGTGGTAAATAGAGAGGAAAGAAAAAACACAATGTTGAAAAACAATGATCTGGAGCTGGGGGATGATTCTGAGAGCGGGAGCCTTAGTTCACTTCCTCCCGTGCAGGGAGCCAGGCGCCATCCCTGTGACAGGAGCTCAGCTGTGGCTTATTCCTTAGAAAGCGGCTAGGGTCCAAGCACTTTAGGGTCCTGAGAATACGACCTCATCCTCCCTCTGCTTCTGCTCCAGCTCACGAGACACCGTTCATCAGTAATGCTGGAGAGATCTTTATTGTTTCTGCTGTCCAGAGCACAGCCGAGTTAGGGAGTTCACGGAATTTCTTAACTTTTGGGCAGAGAGGCTGCAGAGCGACTTCTGGAGCAGGAGGAGATTAGGGAAGGAAGGAATCTCCCGACACCAATCCAAGCGGGGGGGGGGGGGGTCCGGGGATGGGGGGAGGGGGCATGGATACCTGTGCCTTCTGGAGAAGCTCCCAGATCAAGTCCTCCTTGCCATTCACACTCCGGGCCACAACAGCATGTGAAGGGATCCGGGCCAGGTGACAGTTCTTGAAAGCGTCCACGGGCTTCCGAGCGTTGTTTAAGCAGAGCAGCTCATACTTGTCCTGGTCAGCCTTGTTGGGCAGGTTCTCTGGAGGAAGGGTGGAAGTGAAGGGGAGCCCAGATGAGCCCACTGGAGGCACTGACCATGAGCTAGTGTTGCCCTCTTACCAAAACCTCTACTCTCCCTGACGCACTCTGCAAAACTGGGGGGTCAGAAAGGTAGTGGATTGCTCCAGAACATTCAAAAAAGAAAGATAGTGCCCAGAAAGCCTTAGGGGCTAAGCCCAGTGTTCCTCTGAGTCAGACAGGCTGCTCTGGGATTATTAGGACTGCAGCCAGGCCAGCCAAGGAGGGGGGACCGGCCCCCATCTGTTTCCATGTGGCAGAGGCAACCCCAGGTAGCCAGCCAGGGGGCAATGCCTCACCCACCTCTCTAGAAAGAATAAAAACTACAAACACTTTTAAGGCAGGAAATACAGTTGAGTCGCTTCCCAACATTGGGTGTTATCAAAAGAAAGGGAAAGAAGACTGTTTTTATGAGCGAGGTCAGCCCGATTTGGAACTGCTAATGTATCTCGTACATAAATTGCTTCAGGATACATAAGGTGACAGGAACCTGCCCAACTCATCTTACGAGATTAGTACAACCTTGATCTCAAAATCAAAGAGAGAAGTACAGGAGAGAATTACAGGCCTTTTGTACTTACGAACATAAAATGCAGCAATCTCAAATATACATTAGCTAACTCAGTCTAACAGAGTATTTTAAAAACTAATAGATCAGGATTAAGTTTTGTCAATTTATTCCATTAACAAAAGATCAAAAAAGCTGAAGCAATGCACGTCATTAATGGGGTAAAGGAGGAGAACCATGAGATCATCTTAATAGTAATAGATGCAGAAAAAGCATGTGTATGTTCAACATCTACTTGTGTTTGTTTGTTTGTTTTTTAGTTTCAGGAAACTAGTAATATGGAGAACTTGGTAAAGTTCTTGACCTTGACAAATGCCATTTATCACAACGGCTACAGCAAAATCATACTAACAGAAGAAAATGTAAGCATGCACTTCAAATCTGGTGGACACATTCCGTGGAGCATTCCTCAACTGTTAGAACCACTGAACTAGACATACATAGATAAATCTCTAAACATAGATAGATCTCTAAAGATAGATATATCTCATAGATAAATCATAGATAAATCTCTAAAACAAAATGCTGGGTGGAAAATCTGGGTAGTAGCATGGTTTCTAATGTTGAAACTCCTGTGGTCTTAGAACCCAAAAACACAAGGGGCGCTCTACATTTTGCAAGACCATATACGTCTCGAGGGACCCGTGTCAAGTGCCGTGGCGGGGCTGTCTATGAGGAAAAGAAAGGCGGTGGGTATGGTGGGTTTAAGGAAAAATGATTGCTTAAATTGGAAATAACAGGACATAAGAGGCATGCCCTGAAGGGAACCTTGACAACAGTGTGCCAAGAGGTGAGGAGTCCGATTAGCTCCATGCTCAAAATTACGAGAGAATAAAATAAAAGGAGGAGTGCCCCTGGCTGTCCTCCTGCCTCTTACCAAATACTGTACTGTCCCTGACAAATGCCACATCTCCAGCCCCTTCTTGCAGGCACCTATGGAATGAGAAAGCACCAGAAGGGTCAGCACGGAGCGGCCCTCCCCAACTTCTTCCTCGTGCATCCCAGGAGAACAGGGTCCTAGGGCTTGTCTCCTGTGGGCGTCCGGCCCACGGAGGTCAGGGCTCTGAGGCTTTGGAACACCCCATCTGGGGAGGGGTCAGGAGCCACTCCCAGGTAGATGGTGAGGAAGAATGGCTCAGGTGCTGGCCAGAGACAGCACCCCCCCCCCCGCCCGCACCTCCTCCTGTGTTAGAGGCTGAAAGGGCAAAATGGGTCTTTCTATATAAAAGGGTCTGAAGCCTCTACACCAGAGAGTAAAATCTGAGTATCCTCGACCGTGTGGTTCTTTCTCCCAGGACTGAGTGGTGGCCGGCAGACAGGCAGGCCAAACTGCCCGAGCGCAGGAGGCAGATGGGGGAAGAGAAGCAGCCTCAACCTCAGCCTCAGCCTCAACCTCAGCCTCAGCACGGGGGCAGAGGGTGCTGGGGGCAGTCGGGCAGAGCTCGCTGTCTCCCAGCCAGGGTAGAGGCCCGTGCGGAGAAGACCATATCAGCCCGGACACTCCAGCCGTCCCGCCGGGAGCGTGGGACTGGTCATCTCATGACAAGACCCCTGCAGTTCCTCTGTGGTTAGGGAGAGGGCAGAAGTCCGCAGGGGAACCCAGGACATCAGAGGGCAAAGCCAGACTCAGGGTTCTTCAGGGAGAAGGAATGACCACTGCCAGGGGGGTGGGGGGGTGGGGATGGCTCCCTGGGGTGTAGAGGTGAGGGGCACCTGGGGGGGGGGCCCAGGGGTGGGGGCTGGAGAGGCACATGCTCCGGGCAAAGTCAGTTCACTCTTTGGACTCAGTGCTTCTGTCTACACGGCAGTGGGAGAACCGGACCTGCTCTGTGGGCCGGGCCGGCGGGCTGAGCTGTATTTGGGGCCAAAGAAAAGGCCTCCGTGGAAGAAGAGGGCCTTCTCACTCACTTGAAGGCACCAGAGTGGCCGAAGTATGGTTCCTGGGCGGAGCAGGCACACTTCTTGCCCTCCGTCCCTGCACACAGGCGGCACAGTTGGGGGTACCGCCCCGCATCCGCACAGGGCACGCAGCTGGCAGAGAAGAATTTGGCTGCAGCTGTTGGACACAGAGAAGTAGACCACACAGTGCGATCCGGCCCGGCCACAACTCATCACACCTCCCAGCGTCACTCCTGCGGGCAGAGACCACCTCCCCCACCCCTGCTGGACAGCCTCCCTCGTGAGGCTGGGAGCACAGAGATGCACTTGGCCCACGGCAGACTCGGCTGCCACCTCCCAAGGGCCGCCTTGGGCTCATCGCACATGTTTACCAAGTGGCCTGGAGACCCGTGACAGAGATGGCCCACCATCCCCCAGCCACCTCACCTTCCTCAAGGGGCTCGGGTGGCCCTTTCCAGTTTAAGAACGGACGAAGGGTACCCATGGGGATGTTCCATCCAGCCGGCATGTGAAGGCCTGTGTGGCAGGACCTCACGCCTTGCAGTTGGTTTAGCTGGAAGTTGGTGCCCTTCTTGGCTATGGCCACAGCATAATAGTGGATTCGTTGCTCTGCAAAGGGACAGAGAGAATTGCAAGCTCTTAGCCTGAGAATTAAAAGGCTTAGAGGGAGAAAAACAGCCCACCTTGACCTTGCCCGAGTGGAAAGGGGAGCCGTGTTGCTGCCTTTTCCTCTGGCCTGCTCTGTTTCCCCTGGGAGCACATGCATGTCCTCCCCCAGTGGGTGGGCATCTGGCCTGAAGAGCCCAGGGACTCCATCCGCTGCAAGGGGGGCGCTATCTGAGACCCCACCTCTACAGCTCAGCCCCTCTGGCTGCACAGAGCCCAGGGCCAAGGCCAGGGCCACCCCAGTTTCTGGGTCTCCAGGGAGAACTCACTTTCTTGGGTCCCATACACCTCAGCCACTATGGGTCGCAGTTTGTTGGGATCCTGGCCTGCCTCAAACACCAAATCACCGTCCAGGGTCACAGCATCTGCCTTGTTTGCCTGAAAGCAAAGACACCAACCAAGCTTCAGGAGAGAGCCCGCCCTAACCCAGGCCATTTGATTCCAGGAGGTCACAAGTCTCCGTGGCTGGAAGGATCTTCAGAAGCGTTGCCTTTCGGTCATGTTCACTCATGTCCTGTGAGAGGTGTCCTCCTCTGGGGCCAAGGGTCCCTCCTCTGGGGCCCTGCATCAGCTCAACTGCTTTAACTCCTGGGGTTGCTATGTTGGCTCTTTTGTATGAGCCCCCCTGCCTGTATTGGTTGTTCATTTCAGCCATTTCTATCTAAAGTTGTTTATTCTAGATGCTTCCTCCCATTCTTTTGCTCTATGTTTATTTCTTTTAAGTTCTTTTTTATCGAATAGAAAATAGAACTATTACGCTATCTTAAAATTATCATAGTAAACCATGTGCATCCTCTTTGGCATATTACTTTTCATATACTTATATATTTCTTGTATTTGCAATCTGGTAGAGATAATATTTGGTGGACTGCTTTACTCATCTAAAACAGCATGACATTGTCTTACTTCTGCAGCCTTTATTGATTTGATTGACCTCATAAAATTTTATGATAGCGTGGTTGTTCCATAGTTTATCAAATGATGCCTTAAATGTTCAGCACTTTCTGTTTTTGCTGTGATATCTATGCTTTCATGGATCGTTTTGTCCTCATAAATTTTTTTTTTCCTTCTGATGACCTGTTGCCTTGGATAGGCATCTGAGGGTGGGATCACAGACAGGGAGCATGTTTATCTTCATGGCCCTGGCCACTGTTGTTATTCTGCCTTCCAGAAGATCTGTAATGTCAATTTAGAATGCCACCAATCACGAAGATCAGTTTTACTATAAAATCACCAGCAGGACTGGCTTTCATTTTATTGCTATTATTTTAGAAAATGCAAGTGCTAACAAATTGCTTAAGTGTGTATTCCTCTGGTTACTAAGGGAAACATTTCCTATTTTTAGTAATTATGCATGCCCTCTTACTAATGCTCGGTTCATATCATTTTTCATAGATGACCCTACATTTCTTACCAGGTTGAATTAGTTCTTTAGAGTATACAGTAAATAGCAAACCCTTGTCAGAACTGTTGCATATTCCTTCTGGTGCTTTCTAAATTTTTTGGTTAAATGTTTTTAATGGCTATAAATTAAATTTGTTGTTTTTCAATCTGTCAGTTTACTTCATGATTTAGTTCATTGCTTAAAAGCTATGAGAGTTCTTGTTCTCTAAAGTTCTGAGAATTAAACTGTCCCTTGGTCCTTCAATAATAAATGTTTTATTTCCAACCATGTCATTTGATGTGTGGTATGTAGAACTGATTTCGAAGGGGGCTTTTATTAAAAAGGCAGATTTTGCGACCTCATCACAGGTACTTGGTTGAATAGGTTAGAATAAGGTCTAAGAATCTGCATTTTAAACCAGCAGGGTATGCTGGTGCTCTTTTTCCCCCATGCCACAGTCATAAAATAATAGCCTACAACACTGTTCAAACTAGATTTTTCCCCCTACATACTGTTTCGATAACTCTAGATATTATTAGAAACTTTGACACAAATTACCCACTCTGTGCTAGAGTCAAGTACCCACAACAATGGCGCAGGGCAGGGACACAGAACATATATGTTGAGTGAATGAGTAAAAATTATTTCAGTAGATCTTATATCTCAAAAAACAAAAGGAATCTGAAATCATCCGGAAGTCATGATTCCCTCTTCTCTCCCTCTGGAAACGTCTTGCACGAATGTCTGTCCAATGGCCGGTGCCCTGGCCGGCCCTTCCCCAGCAATGTGATGTGGTAACTACAGACCAGCTGAGCTTACTTTGCTCAGGGTTTGGCAGTAATGATCTTCTGGAGGTTTTACCTTTCAGAGGGACCGTGACTTTTGCCAGTGTTACATATTCATCCAATGTGACTGCTTCTGTGTTTGCAACAGCTGTAATTAACAATCTGAGTTGCAATCCCAGATTCCCCACACTTGAAATGTTAATATCTGCTTTCAAAATAACCTTGTGTCCTATGAGGAAGGAACACTCCCAACTTACAGGTACCCGGAGAGAAAAGCAGAGGAAGTAGGGGAAAACACATTTCCTATTTCACTCCATTTCATTCCCTCCACTCAGTTTGGTCCCACCCAACACTTGGCACTGACTTACCTTGATGTCCTGGATACATTGTTTGCGGGAGGTTCCCCCTGTGCAGGAGACACTGGGGCCACCCACTTTTTCCATATTCTGTTGGAATTTGAGGCATTTTGCCAACTCTGCTTCTGATACGGTGCACCACCGAACATTTTTCGTAGCGGTGGCCAGACACAGTCCTAGGAGAGAGAAACCAAGGAGTCAGGGCTCAAGCACTGCCCACGGGAGACACCGCCTCACCCTTTGACAGGGTTTTCCAGACTCCTCCATTTCTCTGCTCCTCCCCTTTCCTCTCCATTCAATGCCAAAATCAGGCCACTCTCCTCGAGTGGAGGTGTCCTGATGGTCTAATGAGCATTCTCTGCTGGCTGGAGGGATGTGATTCTCAATAAATGAAAGGAGATAGTCAGAGCCTCTGGATTATTTTCCTTCCTGTAACTGACACATTTTCCTTCCTGTAACTGACACATTTCCTACCTCTAAAAAATGACAATGACCTTTTGCCTCAGTTTGTGAGGTCTTCCACCTGCTCTGCCCCCCTTGAAGCCGAGAGATGGGCAGGAAAGGGATTACTGTTCCTGTTTTGTTAATGTGGAAACTGGCTCTTGAGAAGGCTGAGTGACTGGCTGCTCAGCAGTGGCAAAATCCAGCCTAGAATCCAGGTCTCTCTAGACTGTTGCATCGACAAGAAACTCCCCAGATGATGCCAAGGCAACTAAAACACACCTGACTCCTTGTCAGTAGCTACAGGAAGTGGTGTACCAAATGGGTCAGCGTGCCTGAGTTACCACCATTCACCTCTGTATCAGAAAGACTGGTTCTCCTGCCGAGACTGCCTTGTTGGTGGAATCTATGCAATCAGGAAGGAGGCTGGACCAGATTTGCTCACAGCCCTTAAAAACCATGTCACTGAAAAACTTATAGTGAACATTATATTAAAATGGTGAAAGACTGAATCCTTTTCCCCTAAGATCAGGTATCCACTCTCAGTTTTTCTATTCAACATAATACTTGAGATCCTAGCCACAGTAATAAGGCAAGAAAAAGCAATAGAAGACACCCATACTGGAAAGGAAGGAGTGAAACTCTCTTTGTTTGCAGATTACATGAGGCTCTATGTAGAAAATCCTAAGGAGTGCACAAAATGCTATTAGAACTAATACACAGGGGCGCCTGGGTGGCTCAGTCGTTAAGCGTCTGCCTTCGGCTCAGGTCGTGATCCCGGGGTCCTGGGATCGAGCCCCGCGTCGGGCTCCCTGCTCCACGGGAAGCCTGCTTCTCCCTCTCCCACTCCCCCTGCTTGTGTTCCCTCACTTGCTGTATCTCTCTCTGTCAAATAAATAAAATCTTAAAAAAAAAAAAAAAGAACTAATACACAAGTATAACAAGGTCACAGGATAAAGATCAATACACAAAGAGCAATTATATTTTTGCATCTAAGCACTGGATGATCCAAAAATGAAATTAAGAATATAATTCTATTCAAATAACATCAAAAATAATTAAATACTTAGGAAAACATTTAACAAAACAAATGTAAGATTTGTACACTGAAAATTATAAAACTTTGCTGAGGGAAATTAAAGAAGATCTAAAAAATGGAGAAACATTTGTGTTCATGCTTTATAAAACTCAATATTGTTAAGATGGTAATTCTCCCTAAATTGATATAGAGAATCAACACAAATACTCTCAAAATTCTGGCAGGCCAGGGTTTTTTTTGGTTTTTTTTTGGGGGGGGGGCGTAGGAATTGACAAACAGATTCTAAAATTTATATAGGATAAATAAGTAAATTGATATAAAATAGCCAAAGAAATTTTATGTAATTTATATTTACAATTTATTTTTATATAATTTATATTCAATAGTCAAAACAATTTTGAAAAAGAAAAAACCTATTGCAATTTTACTTCCTAGTTTCAAAACGTACTATAAAGCTACAGTTATCAAAACAGTGATTAGCATAAAGACAGACATATAGATCAATGAAACAGAATTGAGTCCAGAAGTAAATCCTTATATTTACATTGAATTGATTTTTTACAACACTAAGGCAATTCATTGGCAGAAGGATAGTTTATTAACAAGTGGTGCTAGCACACAGATATCCACATATAAAAAGATTAACTTAGAGCCCTACCTCACACCACACACAGAAATGAACTTGAAGTGGATCATAGAATTTAGCGTAAGAAATAAAACAAACTTTTAAAAGGAAGCACAAGGGAAAAACTATGCAACCTTGGGTTAGGCAAAGTTTAATTAGCTATGACACCAAAAGCACAGTCCATAAATGAAAAAAAACCATTAATAAATTGGGCTTATCAAAATTTAAAACTTTTATTTTTCAAAAGACAGTTAAGAAAATGCAAAGACGGGGCACCTGGGTGGCTCAGTCGTTAAGCATCTGCCTTCGGCTCAGGTCATGATCCCAGGGTCCTGGGATCGAGCCCCACGTCGGGCTCCTTGCTCAGTAGGGAGCCTGGTTCTCCCCTGCCTGGTGTTACCCCCCTGCTTGTGCTTGCTCTCCGTCTCACTCTCTCTGTGTCATATAAATAAATAAAATCTTAAAAAAAAAAAAAAGAAGAAAAGAAAATGCAAACACAAGCAACAGGTTGGGAGAAAATATTTACAAAGAATTTGACAACTCAGCAAAGACAAACAACCCAATCAAAAAATAGGCAAAAGATATGAACAGACATTTCACAAAAGAAGATACATGAATGCTAATAAGCCCGTGAAAAGATGTTCAATATCATTAATCATTAGGAAAATGCAAGTTAAAAGTACAATGAGATATTTGTTCATACCTACTGGAACTAGTTCTAGTAACTAAAACAGAGGAAAACATATGGGTAAGGATGTGAAGAAATGGGACCCCTTGTACATTGTAAAATGGTGGAGCCACTTTAGGAAACAGGTCGGCAGTTTCTCAAAATGTTAAACATAGAGTTACCCTATGACCCAGCAATCCACTTCTAGATATATAACCCAAAGAAATAAAAAAACATATCCACATAAAAACTCTTATATGAATATTCATAGCAGCATTATTCAGAAAAGCCGAAAGCTGGAAACAACCTGAAAGTCCAGCCACTGGTGAATGGCTAGAGAAAACGTGATACATCCACACAACAGAACATTATTTGGCAGTGAAAAGGAAAGAACTAGTGATATGGACCATGATACGGATGAGCCTCATTTATGCTAAATGAAAGAAGCCAGACACAAGACATTACCTATTATGTGATTCTACTTGTATGAAATGTCCTAAAAGGCACATTTATAAAACAGAAAGTAGGGATGCCTGGGTGGCTCAGTCAGTTAAGCGGCTGCCTTCGGCTCAGGTCATGATCCCAGGGTCCTGGGATCGAGTCCCACATCAGGCTCCTTGCTCGGCGGGGAGCCTGCTTCTCCCTCTGCCTGCCTCTCCCCCTACTTGTGTTCTGTCTCTCTCTCTCTCTCTCACAAATAAATAAATAAAATCTTTAAAAAAAAACAACAACAACAGAAAGTAGATTAATGATTGCCTGATGCGGGGGTGGGAATGAGAAGTAATTTTAAATGGACATGAAGAAACTCATTAGGGGGTGGAAATGTACTAAAACTGATTTACAGTGATGGTCGTGCCACTTGGTAAAATTACTAAAAATCATTGAATTGTACACTTAAAATAGGTGAATTTGGGGGCGCCTGGGTGGCTCAGATGGTTACACATCTGCCTTTGGCTCGGGTCATGATCCCAGGGTCCTGGGATCGAGCCCCACATCTGGCTCCTGGCTCAGCGGGGAGCCTGTTTCTTCCTCTGCCTCTCCCCCTGCTCGTGCTCTCTCTCTCTCTCTCTCTTTGTATCCCTGTGTCTCGAGTGAATAAATAAAATCTTTAAAAAAAAAAAATAGGTGAATCTGGGGATATGTAAAATATACCTCAATAAAGCTATTACAAAACAAAACAAAAAAAACCCAAAACACTTGATTGCAAAAGCCCCCTTCTCATTTGGATGTGCTTTAGAGTGGAACACTCAGCTCTCTGCCACCTGTTATTCATGAACCATTCCCTGCATAATCAGACCCACCAAAGTATTTGAAGCTCGCTGGGAGGGCTTGGTGAGGAGACCAGTGGCTCCCAGGCCAGGTCTGCAGGGACTCAAGAGCATGCTGCCACAATCCTTCTCCACCAGCCATCGTCCCAGGAAATCCCAGGGGATGTAATCTAGCCTGAGGCTCTCATGGAACTGTCCTGCCATAAAAATTAACCCGGTCATATTCAGCCACTTGTGACCCAGTAGCATTTACTGGATGCCCTCTGTATACACAGCACTGTGTGTCATACAGAGGAACATGTAAGCAGACAAGACTAGATCTTACCTCCCATTTGGAGAGGCAGAAAGTCAAAAAAGAGGAAGCTAAGGATGATGAATGCTCTAGAAGAAACAAATACCAAACCAGAAGTGAGGTCCCCATGACCTCTGCCAGTAATCAGGGTGGTGGCAGTCCAGGAGGGTAAGAATAATGGCCCCATTGTTGCAAGCATGTTTTATGCCAGGTGCTTTACTCAGCACCTCACACCTTCTCTGTCCATTGATCCTCCCAACTCCCTGAACTGTCAGTGCTGCTAACACCCTCATTTCCAGGGCAGAAAATAGTGGCTTTGGCTAGTTATATGGCTTTCCCAAGGTCCCCCAAACTAATAAGTGTTGGGTCCAGGATTTGAACCTACGAAGTCAGACACAAAGCTAAAGTCTCTTACCACAAAAGCTAGCTTTCCTATTTAGGTTGGCTAGGTTAGAGATGGGCTGCAGTGGAGATGGGGTGAGTAAAGGGTTTGGGGTCAGATCATGGAAAGCCCTCAGTGCTGGTCCAAGGAGGTCTTATTCTAGAGGGAGTAGAGCTCTCTCGTGAAAGAGAGCAGAGTTAAGAGTTCTGCCTAGAATGGGGGAAGGGTAGACTGAAAGCAGGGAACCAAGCAGAAAAGCAGTGGGAATGGACAAGGGGCAGGAACAGGGAGGTGGTGTCAGAAATTAGCTTGGTGACGGATGGGACCAGAGGGTGAAGAGGGAGAGCAAAACAGAAGACCAGGCGTCAAGGTGGGGTGGGGGGGCATGAATAGCGGCAGGAATGGGGAACCCACGGGCAGAGTTGGTTTCTTCTCTTGGGAAGGGCTGAACCAGAAGACTATAAAGGACCACCGAGGGGTTTTCCAAGATCCACAGTCCCAGCCCCCAAAACACCAGGGCCTGAGTCAGAATGCACCACCCACTCATCCCTCCCCCTCTCACCAGCCACCTCCGAAGCCACATGTCCCCCTTAAGACCACGTGCTCTCTGAAGCAGGTCTGGGGCTGTATCCCCACCCCCACACCTGAACTGTGTCAACCATTCAAACGCTGCCCCCCTGAGCCTGGATGGAATCTTCCTGAAAGTATGCATCCCCTGATTGCTTCTTTGCAGACATGCAGTGCCCTGAACCTCAAGGGCAGGGGCCGGGATGGAGCTACTCCTCTCACCCCACCCAACCTCCGCCAGCCAGGATGCCCATGGGAGCAGGGCAAGAATCCCCTAGAGCAGGAGTCCAAGGCAACCAAAGACTCAAGTGAAAATGGAACCCAGGGGTGCAACTCTGAGCCCAGATCCTGCACCATAGCCCATGACCACCTCCAGGAAAGTAAGGTTTCCTCCTTCTCGGGCTCTCCCAGGTGGACTCAACCCTGTGCTGTGCTCCCAGCAGGCTACAGGTCAGGGAGCAGAAGGGAAGCTGGCCCTGAGCAGTTGGTCCTGGCAGACCCAATCCTGCCTCAGAGAAGACCGGGATGACAATACCCATAGGAAGGACTTTGGAGAAGGGGATCAGAAGGTGGGGACAGGGATGGCTTCATGGTCCCTAGGTTTGGGGGTGTAAGCTCACTGTGCTCTCTATGACCCTTTTCCATCCAGGAAGCTCCCCAGCTGGGAGTACATGCTCTTAGCCAGGAGGAGGCTGACCCGGGCTGGTAGGAGCCCAGGGAGGGAGGGGACACCTGTCGTTTTCCTCTGACCCCCCACATACTGCCTAGGCACTGATGCCCGTCACAGCCCCCCACCACCTGCCCTCACACATTCACGTCTCTGATGTCCATGACTGGCCAGTGCCCTCTGCACACCCCAGAAATTATTTCAGACAGTCCTAGTCTGGGTGCATTTCAAACCAGGAATCAATCATTTCTCTCTTAGACGCTCTGAAGGAGGGGTCCCCTCAGGAGGGTCTGGGCCACCACCCCCCGCCCTTCTGCAGCGGGAAGCGCGTGTGTATACCTCTGCCCGCCGTTGGGCAGGTGGCAGCCAGCCTCCACCTCACAGCTGCGTGGGAAGACGGCTGGACTTTTTCTTTTTTTTTTTTTTAAGATTTTATTTATTTATTTGAGACAGAGAGAATGAGAGAGAGAGAGCACATGAGAGGGAGGAGGGTTAGAAGGAGAAGCAGACTCCGTGCTGAGCAGGGAGCCCGATGCGGGACTCGATCCAGGGACTCCAGGATCATGACCTGAGCCGAAGGCAGTCGCTTAACCAACTGAGCCACCCAGGCGCCCTGGACTTTTTTTTTTTAATCGAAGAAACTGGGGCTCTGTCTCTTCCAAGTTACACAATCCTTGCAGGAGCTGGGCTCTGAGCTCGTCTCCTGTGTGTCTTGGGCAAGTCACTCACGGTCTCTGGGTCTCATTTTCCTCCCATGTAAAAAGCCCGCCACAGTACTATGGGTACCAAAGTTCCGGGAGGGACACAATGGGACAGGGTCGCTTTGCGCAGCTCTAGGGACACCCGGACCAGCTCCTCTAAGCCCTGCTCTGGCTCCTCCCCAGGCAGGTGGGCGGGACCCGGCTGCGGGGCGCAGGGATGGACAGGTGCGGGGCGGGGGAGTGGGGACGCAGGCACCCACCCACCGGGCGTCGGGGACGGGGGGGGGGGGGGGGGGGGGGGGGGGCGCCCACCCGGCAGGGCGCGCCCCCAGGTACCTGCACTCACCAAGGGCCCCGAGGAACAGCAGGGCAGGGAAGACTAGCTTCATTCTGGGCTCCTGAGGCGACTCTGGCGAACGAAGTCTCTGCCACCGGCACCCCTTTATCCAGGGCTTGGTGACCTCACAGGGTTTGCCCCGCCCTGTAGCCCAATAGGGATCCCCTGCCCTGAGCCCTCGCACCCCTCCTCCACTAGTTCCTGGCGGCCAAGAAAGGGGGGAGGGGGAGGGGAAACAGAGGTGGGAGGGGAGAAGGACCGGAGCCTCAGCAGCCTGACCACCAGGAGAGAGGAAACCCGGCCCACAGGCAATCTCGTGCACGCTGGTGCTGCGTGGTTACTGGGATGGTCTTTTCTCTCCACCAGTCTGCAAGTCTCTAGGGATTCTGTCTTGTCCTTGTCCTTCCTCTGGTCTCATTGCCTCCTAGACGGCTGGACGTAGAGCAGGGGTCCTAAGGTGAACATTTGTGATCATCCTGAACTGTGAGGCTCGCCTTTCCTTTCACAGATGGGTCTAAAGGGCCTGGGAGCTGCCTCGGCCTGAGATCAGCCTTGTGGGACAGCTAGCCGAGGTGATGGTCGCTGCCCAGAGTCTGCCCCAGGCTGCCCATGGGTCTCTCCCGGCCCCACTGAGACCACAGTACAGCTTCCAGAAAACAGAGCCAGAGGCCTCAGGGGAAGTGACCACCACCCAGGCCCAGTGGCTCTTTCCCTGTCCCCTCATTAACACTTGTGTCATTTTTCTTTTGTTTTGTGGTGGTATGAGGTGGGAGATGGGAACCTCATTTTGATAAATGTCATATTTTGTCAACATAAGCTTACCTTATTTCAGAAAGGTGTTTTTCAACTCTAGGATTCGGCTGCCAAGAATATATCTTGTAAATACACTCCCATGATGCACAACGGCTCACATATGAGGGTTTCCAGGGCAACACTGTGTGTCATTAACCAACTGGAAGCAAATTAAACATCCATGTCTGGGGGCTGTCAAAGAGTGTGCCTCCTTGAGACCCTCAGGGAGGCCGTGGGGCCCCTCTGCCCCCGGTGTGGAGCCTGCCAGGGCACAGAGTAGGGTCTGATCAGGTACCCTGCTTGCCAGACACAAGAGTGGGGTCTGGGGTTCAGCACTAGAATCACCACCTGGGTTTGGGGGTGACAGATCCAGAATCTCCTATTGTTTGGAAACAGTGTCACAACATTAAAAGTTGCTTTCATCAATAATTGCAATAAGCGCTTTCAAAAATAGTGAAGAAATACAAAATTGACTAATTCTCAGGAGTGCTGAAGCATCTTTGTACCTAAATTAGCCACTCAGCTCTGCCCTTCCATAATTATAGAAGAATTAAGAAATGTCACCACCCATGTGTCTGTCTCTGAATGCAAATTTTACAAAGGGTGGCTTGTGAAGTCAGGGGCCTTCAGACCCTCTTATGTCTGTTACAGCGTTGGCAGGAACACAGAGAACCTGGGGCCACAATCAAGAGGCTGAGCTGAGCTGTGAATTGTGCAAGACTGTTGAATCTCAGATCTGTACCTCTGAAACAAATAATGCAATATATGTTAAGAAAGAAAAAAAAGAAGAAGAAGGAGAATGTAGCAGGAGGGGAAGAATGAAGGGGGGGAAATCGGAGGGGTAGACGAACCATGAGAGACGATGGACTCTGAAAAACAAACTGAGGGTTCTAGAGGGGAGGGGGGTGGGAGGATGGGTTAGCCTGGTGATGGGTATTGAGGAGGGCACGTTCTGCATGGAGCACTGGGTGTTATGCACAAACAATGAATCATGGAACACTACATCTAAAACTAATGATGGAATGTATGGGGATTAACATAACAATAAAAAATTAAAAAAAAAAAGAGGCTGAGCTGAAGGGATATGCCCTGGAGGCAGGACTGGGATAGGTCAGGCCCCGGGGCAGACTGCTTGTATGCTCTGTCTATAGGGCATGGCCCAGTCACAGGCCAGGGATGTGCTCAGCTGGACACATGCAGAGCATGGCCATGCCAAGGCCATCTGCAGAGGAAGTGGATAGAAGGGTGGGGTCTACCCAGGAGACTATGAAGTTCAACTGAACTATCATCAGCATTCATTCTTCATTTGTTCATGCCAGAACTGGTGAGTTCCAGGAGAACGGAGAAGAGGGGTCTGTCCTTGCCCTCAGGAGCTCACAGCACAGTCAAGGGTGGGGGGCAGTCACAGACACGGCAGCATAAACAAAGTCAAGGTGGGAGGAGGAATGACCGACCAGCTTCCATCATGAAGGCTCCAGAAAGGTTCAAGGAAGAACATTGACCTGGGTATCGGTGGGGGAAGGGCCGCATTTCTACAGGGAGAACATTCAGGTGGAGGAAACAGCCAAGAAAGGGCGTGGGAGCATGAGCACTCGGTGACCAATTACCTAAGCACGAGAACCACAAAAGGTCCCTCTGGGTTTTCTGGCCTGGACCTCTCCTTGGAAGGATTAACAGCGTCACCTCCTCTGTCCTGAGCTCCACACCAGTGTCCATCTGCCTCTGGATAGCTCCTCCTGCACGTCCTGTAGGCACCAGAATTCCGTGCATCTGAAATGGAGCCATCCACTCCCTCCAGCCCTGCACCTTCTCTCAGATTTCCTACCACCTTCCACCAAACCCTCCAAACAAAGAGCCTCAGAAGTTCCTCAAATCCTCTGGCCAGCTAGCCCTGTCCGTGCGATGGGCACCTGATGATCACTATCGGTTGAATGAATGAAGGAGCAAGGAGGAGGGACAGGGCTGAAGGATCCTGCTCGCCATGTGTCAGGTCTGAAAGACAGGGCTGGCGATGCCAGGCCTCCCCAGAACCTGTGTGCCCGGGGTCATTACTTTGCCCGTGAGCTCAGCATCGATCTGCATGGCTCTCTGAGGGGCCAGGAGCTGGGCCAGATCTTGCAGATCCTGCGGGGAAGTAGGAGGCGGGTTTTGCAATGCTGAGACCGTGGCATGGTGTGAATATAAGCAGGGCAAAGAAGGGTGCAGATGGTACAAACCACCATATAATGGCAGGAGCTGGTGTGTGGCAGGCAGGTGAGGGAAGCCAACAAACTTCTCCCACATCCTCACTCCCTCTTCACCCCCAAAATTCACACAGGGACCCTTTGCCAGCTCAAGGACTGGCCCAAGCCAAGCGCCCTCCCGACAGGTGCGCAGTAAGTCCCACACCCTGCCCTCGATGGAGCCCTCCAGGTTCAAACCCCAAGAGGAGCTTTGGGAAGAAGGTGTAGATCTGGGCAGAACCAGCTCTAGATGGAACAAAGGAGAAAAGGAGTTCTTGAGACATCTGCTCACACGGGGGGCTCCACCCTGGCCGACCGGAGACCGCGGGCCGGGCTGCTTGCCCCTGCCAGTGGTGGGAAGTTACTGACTTGCCAGAGAGCCGCTTGTTAAATATTCAGGGATTTTGTGGCAGGTTGTTGAACGTTGGTAGCTTGAATTCATTCGTGGTGGGAGTATCTACACCGTGGAAATTAGCAAACACTGTGAATCGGAACATGTTTCCCTCCTGGGGAGCAAGTTTACAGCACATCACGGCCCGGTGTCGTCACTGTGTGGGGGCATGCGGTCCCCATGTCAGCGTGGCTACGTGCGGAGGAGGGGGTGCCATCCTAGGGGACAGACAAGATAATAACCCGAAGCATTTGGCTGGCACTCGGAACTCCAAACAGAGCTGCCTGTGGCCTTGTCTCTGGTGGCTCGGACAGCTCTGGAAGTCACACTTACTGCTCTAAAAACAGGTAAACTGAGGGTTGCCCTACAGTCACCCAGTGAGTAAGATGCAAAGATGGAACTGCCGGCCCTGAGTCTCCCCTGAGGCCCACAGCTGGTCTGTCCTCCTCTGCAGAGGCTGAGATCCAGAGAGAGACCTAGCTCTTGATCTCGGCAGGAAGGAAAACCCGCAGGGATTGAGCCCCTTGTGGCGCAGGACTGTCCAGCACCTTCCACACGTCAGCCGTGGTTCTTGATCCTCGTGGAAGCACCACGACGTGCCTCAGCAGGCCTGTTTTCCAAATGGGGGGAATCAGGCAAAGCAACTCATCCATGGTCATGCCGCTGGTCAGGTCTAGAAATCTGCCACTGCCGCCTGCCCCCTATCCAGTGATCCTTGATGGCTATCGATCGTTCCTTTGCTGACCACCCTGAAGAGAGAGCAGAAAGTGAGGGTGACGTGGACGCAGAGCTCCCTACTTTCTTGGCCAGTGAGATGGTCACTATTTCCAGAGCAAGGTCCTAATATTCCGCCCCAAGCAGGCCCCTTGCATATAGCCAAAAGCCCTGGGGAGTCTTCAGGGGTGTCTGTGGGTGGTGGGGGCTGAGCTGAAGGGTGGCGGGCAGGAAAATGGTGGTTTTATTAACTAATATGTCTTGTTGCCGAATGTTGCCCAATTTACAAAGAACCCACAGAGACAAGAGCTTCTGTGTCCTTGGATAGCCCTCTTCCTCCTCCTTCACCTTCCTCTCCTCATAATCAGCACCCTCTGCCCTTCTGGACCCTCCCCTCTCAGGGCCAGCACCCCACAGACCTGCCGAATGACACTGCACCATTCTGCCCAATAGTCCAGGGGCCAGTGGAAACGTCCTAGGTTTTCCAGGTGCAAGATTTCAATTCTCCCGGCCTGGTTAGCACCCCCATTTCCCTGGCATAAATCCGAACTCCATGAGCACCTAATCACCATGTCCAGATGAGAACATGCAGCAGGCCAGGCCCAGGGAGAGTCTTCCTGGAAGGTGCCAGCCAGGGGCCGCCTGGAGGGTGGCAGTTGCTGGCCCAGGGCCAGCCATGCAAATTTCTTCCCAGAAGGAATGAGGTCCCTGCCAGAGAAATCCCAGGCAGGAAGCACCTGAACTGGAGAGCCCCTGGCAGCTTCGCTGGCTGCCCCCCGCCCAGCCACAGGGGACCATTGCTGGGCCATCTCTGAGAAGGAGCTTGAGTGGGTGCCCAGAAAAGCAAGGAGCCGCTGTTTTCCTCCATGCCCCTGGGGCGAGGCCAGAGCTGCTCTTCGCCAGCTGTCCCAGGCTAGGAGTGGCCAGCCCCCTGACCTACTCCAGGCAAATGCCTCTTCCACATCCCCTCATTCATTTCTGCACTGGACAGCCTGGCGGGCTGGAGGGCCCAGGGGAGAA